TTCAGCTATTTCCTAATTCTAGAAAATCACGTCATGGTTTCAACAACTGGGTGGACATTACTAAATAAGAACTAAGCCAAGTCAGTATGTGGTTTACACCAGTCAGGTTTATCACTTCACAGATGATCAAAACAAGACAGCAGTCACTAGTGATCACAGAACTGGGGAAAATAACACTATGCTTCCTAACTGTACTGAAACAGCTTTTTTTCATACATCTATAAGGCCAAAAATAAGTTTACCTTGGGTCAAAACAGACAGAACCACGGTGTTCAGCTACCAGTAGATCTGTCTCCCCCCAGGTTCCCCTCCAATACAATTCAAGAGATAAGGGATGCAATTTCTCACTTCTAGTCCTGATCTTCTCTGCAGTGGGGGTGCTGCACATGACCCAGGATAAACTGGGTCCCCGCCTTCGTCGTAAACGCTTTAGGATGAAAAGCTCTATACAAATACAAGGAATTATCTGCTTCCCTGTGGTATTTCTTACTTATACACACTTCAGAATAACTCACATCCACAAAGCCATGTTAAAGAGTTTATTTTCATGTACATTGGATAGAAATGAGCAAACATTTTTTATGGCTTTTTGTCTTTTTTAAAAATGCGGTCAGCTGAGGAATACGTGCCTGAAGTACTGTACTTCCTAGGACATTTTGGGACAGAGATGCTTTTTATTCAGGTGCTGGCAGGACATTTACTCATGTCCTTGTCTTATTATACAAGATTCCTAGCATTAAGAGGGAGAGGGGAAAAGCCAAGAGCTCCTGTCAGGATTGTGCCAATGATGGTGTTTCAGCAATGCAGCAGGTGGAAACCACAAGGTATGTAACATTTGAGCAAGGTAGCTCACCTGCCTAACTGCAGTCATGGAGATCAATCCTCTTATTCTCCAGTCCCACAAACCCAAGAAATCCTGTTTGCCAGTTTATTCTTTGTGAGACCAGAAACCTCCAGTAACAGTTAATGTTGAGAGAAACCACCAAAAAAATATAAATTACAAAATTTTCAGGGAAGTGTTATTTATATCCACCAATTTAAAGGGCACTCTGAGCTAGTCATTTTTAAGGAACTGTATTTTCCTCTTTCTAATAAGTAAAACAACCTTATCATCATAACTACTTATTTTTAAAAACTGATTCCATATTTAGCTTCCAGCAATGGCAGAACTCAAAAAAGTCAGTGACTCAACCAAAGCCTCCCAAAACATGTTTTTCTTTTATGTAAGCACTGCCAGCTTATGGACTATACATGTTCATGCAGACAGCTAACCTTTCTTTCAGCACAGAACAATAAAACATTCTGTCCTCAGTTACTTATTATCCGACTGTGGGCTCTGAAATGCGACCTCTGGCACCCTGACCAGGACTTCCCCTTCCATGACCACTTTGCCTTTTACCGAGCAGGAAACGGAAATCCAGGCAAAGGACTTCTTGAGCCTTTTCACCTCGGCCTCTGCTAAAACCTCTTCTCCGATGTACAAAGGCGCGGGAAAGCGAATTTCCTGAGAAAGGAATATACACCCGCTGCCAGGCATCTTAGTCCCCAAAACTGCTGATATAAGCCCATTAATCAGAACTCCATGGACAACCGGCCTTTGAAAAGGAGTGTTTTTAGCGAAGTCAACATCCAGGTGGAGGGGGTTGATGTCTCCTGTTAACTCGGCAAACAGAGCCACATCCCTAGCAGTGAATGCCTTTGTAAGTGTGGCTCGTGATCCAACATGGATCAATCTGGGATGGACAGAAGTCTGCAGAGGATCCTTCGTTCCCATGGTCACAGTGGGGCCAACAGCAAGGGCGACATGCTTAAAGTGTCTGGACAAGATGCTTCCCCTCCAAACAAAGGTCATTTTGATGTATTCCCGTTTATCTCAAGCGGCAAGAGCACTTCAGTCCAGTTCGAAATCTCTGCTGTTTCCAGACAAAGCTAACAGGAGTGGCGACACCTGCAAAATTGAGATTCAAGGTTAACGCTTTTTCTAGAGAATCCAGAAATGGATTCATAACATTCAAATTTCTTGCAAATATTTTGTCTGTACAGAGATATGAATACGCACAATAACTGGTAGCTAACTTTAAGAGGATGAAATAAGTAGCATGTGCTGATTTGATTTTGTCTGTGACAAAAACAACTCTAAAGTAAAATATTCAAGTGTTCAGTTGTGAGAAAAAGTTTGTGGTTATATGGTTATATGAATTATATGGATTTCTGCATGAATGGCTCCTAAAATGTGATGTGATCATGATCCATGTCATAATTATAAATAAAGACAGTCTTATTTAACAAACAACACACACATTATAACATTGCTATATCTTTATTGAATAAATGCTTTAAACAATCAAGGTCATTGATGCAAAAAGTATGTGAACCCTCATATTTAGTAACTAGTGAAACCTTCTTTATTGGCAATAACCTCAACCAAACCCTTTCTGTAGCTGCTGATCAGACCTGCACAGCGGTTAGGAGGTATTTGGCCCATTCCTCTATACAAAACTGTTTCAGTTCATGTATATTTTTGGGATGTCTTGATTGAATGGCCTGCTTCAGATCATGCTACAGCATTTCAATGGGATTGAGGTCAGGACTCTGACTTGGCCATTCTAAAATATGGAATTACTTTTGTTTGAGCCACTCTGTTATTGATTTACTCCTGTATTTTGGGTCATTGTCATGTTGCATGTTTTTAGATCAGTGAACCCCTGACATTCTGCTGTAGAATTTCCTTAAACAACTTGGAATTCATTGGTCCCTCAATGATTGCAAGCCGTCCAGGCCCTGAGGCAGCAAAGCAGCCCCACACTATAATTCTCCCTCCTCTTCGCTTCATAATGTTTTGTTTTCTCCATACATAACGCTGTGTATATTTACCAAAACGTTCAACTTTTGTCTCATCTGTCCACAGAACACTGTTCCAGTAGTGCTGTGTAACATACAGGTGGTCTTTAGCAAACTGAGAAGGGCAGCAAAATATTTTTTGGAGAGCAGTTTCCTCCGTGGTACCCTCCAATGAACACCACTCTTGTTCAGTGTTTTTCTTATGGTAGACTCATGAACACGGACGTTAACAAGTGCAAGAGATGCCTGCAGATCCTTAGCTGTCACCCTAGGGTTCTTTGTCATCTGTCAGGGGATTGTACGGCATGCCCTTGCACTGATCTTTGTAGGACGCCCACTCCTAGGGAGAGTAGCAACTGTACTGAATTTCTTCCATTTGTAAGATATCTGCCTGACTGTGGACTGATGGAGGCCCGAGTCTTTAGAAATCCTTTTGTAACCCTTTCCAGTCTTATGAGCTTCAGCAGCTCTTCTTCAGAGGTCCTCTGAAATCTCTTCTGATCGGGCCATTTTGCACTTCAACAGAATTCTACTGGGAAGAGCAGTTAACCAAAATTGTGTGATTTTTTTATATGGCAGGGCTGGTTGTTTGTTAAACAAGGCTGTCTTTATTTATTACTATGACTTAGATGAAGATCAGATCACATTTTAGGAGCCCTTCATGCAGAAATCCAGTTAATTCCAAAAGGTTCACAAACCTTTTCTCACATATGTATATCTTATTACATACACAGCCCTTTGTGTATTTTTCTGTTGAGTCATTCATCACAAGGCAATACTACAAACCTATTGCTGCCATCTGTTGTTCATTTTTTGCTCTGCAGTCTATGAAGAACAAGGCAAAATTTCGGTGGTGTAAATTAGGCCTAAGTGAAATATGTTTTTAATGTTTATAATTCCCATGTGTGCTGACATTAGTGTGCTGTATTTAATGTATGTAATGTAGTATGTATTTAATGTACAATCAGACTGTAAGACACACAAAAGGCAAATAAGCTGTATGAACTGTACTGAAGCTATTATTATGTAGATAAATCTGTCAATAGAGTGTGCTCACACTTTGTAAGAAAATAAAGTTAAAATAATTCAAATATGATTACTGGAAAGCAGACAAAATACTCATTCCCTTTGTTTTTTTCCCACAAAATATAAAATAGTCCACAAAATATAAAGAACTTTGCAAAACACTGAGCATTTACATGGTGTAACTTTAAAAGATGGGGAATATTGTACATTCAAAAACAAATTGGCTATTTCAACTAATTAACTCACCTGAATAATCCTAAAGGCACATGGTTCATTTTGATAGGATCCTAGTAATGTCAGAGCACTCCACAGTTTCACAAGGCCACTGGAAGAAAAATATTTGCATAGTGACTCAGAGGAAGGGCTGTGGACAAACACCATTGTCGATCCTGTACATTTTAAAATACATTTAAAAAAAATAAATCATAAATCATACATATAAATAAATTGTATAACCAAACAATAATATAAAAATCTTGAATACACTTCTAATTGTTTTGAACTATAGGACATTTGACTCGTTGACTATTTTTACTATGCTTGCTTCCACATTTTTTATTTTTACAGTCAAGCAATATTACTTTACCTGCTCAACACTCGTATTATCGCTTTCAGCGTGTTCTCCTCAAATTTTAGAACATCGAAAGGAAAGGCGGCTCCAATCTACAAAACATCTGTGTTATTTGTGTCTATTTCTGGAGTTGCCCATTAAAACAAAACTGCAACACACGTTAAACATATCAAGCAAAGCTAACACCTTTCTCTTTATTTCACAATACACTTCCCTTAATGAAACGCTGATAAACATAACTGTGCAACAGATATTTGCACTCCCCTTTCCTTTCTGAAGCACCTACTTTCTGGTATTTATGGTCATGTTCCCATGCAAAATGCTGCTTGAAAATCAAATACAAAACACACAAGGACTGATAGTAGCAAAGACACTATATTAATCTATTATTTCTTATAGAACAGAGGATATGCGTTTCTTCTAAAATATGGCCTAAAAGCTGTATGAACTGTACTGTATTATTCTGTAGATCCATTTGTCAACAGAGTTAACAAATTATTACAAATTATTAACAAAATAAATTTGTCAATTTGGGTAAATGTATATTTAAATATTTCCAAACTGGGTCTGTATATCAAGATGGAGTCTAGCTCTGTATATGTGGTACATCAAACTTATATTTTCATTTACATACCTCTCCATACAGGTCTCTGAGGGCTGAAATGATCAGCTGCTTGAACTGGGCCTCACTGAGTCTTTTGTCACTGTCTTGGAATACTCTGTAAAAACAAGGCCAGAGTTTTCCACCAACAGAGAAGGAAAAAAAATTCTGCCCTGTCTGCATCTGAAGAAAAGTCGCTTAGATATTTGGCAATGCATTTCTCACACGTGCAAAATCACAGCCGAATTCTCATGAGAGCTTGATTTAAAAAAAAGAGGGATGATTTAAAAAAAATGTATTTATAGCAATTTGTTTTCTAACCACTTGATCCAATTCAGGGTCACGGGGCAGCTGGAGCCTATCCCAGTAAGCAACGAGAGTGAGGCAGGATACACCCTGGGCCAGACGCCAGTCCATTGCAGGGCAGAGACAAACGCCTACACTCAGACCAAGGCCAACATTCCCAGAAGTCAAATAACCTACCCGTTAATCCTCCTATGGACTTTGGGAAGAAACCAAAGCACCCAGCCAAAACCCACACAAACACAGGGAGAACATACAAACTCTATGCAGATAGCACCCCAGGTCTGGAATTAAACTCATGGCCCCAGTGATGCAAGACACCAATACTAATCACTGATCCACCAAATCTCCCTAGATATTTATATACGCTTTATAATAAATATGAACACATTCATATTGATGTGTAGGATGTTAGAAAAATAATCTTCAGTTTTAAAATCAAACAACAACACCGTACATCAGTTGAGCAATACTGGTCAGAGTTGAACAATGATTTCCAGAACACGTCTGTGAACATTTTAGTGTAAAACCTAGCTATGGTGTAAATTACGATACAATTAAAAAAATATATTAAAGACATTGAAACAGCCTGGAAACAACACTCGTTGCTATTATCAGATTAACTGCAGTACATTTAATGAGGTGGCAGGTGAGCGTTCATGCGTGATCAAACAACTTGTAGGAGACACCAAGAAATGCTCGTGAAAAAAAAACATGCCGGCACACTCACAGGGAGATCCTCAGATAATGGTACACTGATGCATTCTTCAAAACAAGCCTTTCATAACTTGCAGGTTCCTCCTCCTGTTTCCCAGAGCGTCTCATGCTATTTCCTTAACAAAGAGAAAAATCCCGTAATCACACAGCAGAAAATAATGTTCTGCACAGATTGCACGGCCCTGCAATTCCACTGTGTTTGTTAACTTTAGAGGAGCAACATAACTTATTGCTTTGGGTTTAAGTGAGAAACTTTGTAACCATGCCATAACAAAAAATAAAATTACAATACAGCAACAATGTGTGGTATGATCAACTCACACAGTTGTTTCCTAACAATGTTAATTTAAATAGTCAACCCCGTTATATTCTGTAGCGAGAAAGTAGTTTCTAAAAGCTGCTTTATTTTTGCACCCTTAATTCACGATTTCGCGAATGTTATAGGAAAAAAGACTAAAAGAAATGCTGTCAGTATTTCGCAAATATATCATTCTATTAATAATAATAATAATAATATCTGCGAGATTTTCTGTGAGAAGACATTATTAGTTAAGACAGCATTTGCTTTTGATTCAGTGTTGCAAGGCAGAAGCTAAGAAAAAGGCTCCTAATGATACAGAGCAAAGTAAACAGATTTGTAGTACTCAACATGTCAGAGACTGGTGTTGGTTTGATTAAAAATTCTTCACATTACCTGACACCTTAACTCAGATTAAACTCCGCACTGTAACCACGTTTCAAGTCGTACTTCCTGTTCTACAGCCTTTGCAGTCCGACCTAGCTCTGTGCTCGTATACAGTTCTGTACCTAATGTCCTCAAAAGGTCCATATGACGTCCTAATATAAATCAAATCTCAGTCCACGTCTCCAGTAGTAAATAAATAAAATTATCTTTACTTTCTACATCACGGAATTTAATACACGGAAAAGCATTACGATTCGTTATTTCGGCTAAATTGTTTGGTCACTTGTGAAGGATTGGTCATTTAGACATCATCATCATCATCATCATCATCATAATAATAATAATAATAATTGCTTAAACTTATATAGCGCTTTTCTGGACACTCCACTCAAAGCGCTTTACAGGTAATGGGAACTCCCCTCCACCACCACCAATGTGCAGCATCCACCTACATAATAACATAATAATTCTGCTCCCAAATATCGTACACGGCTTTACTCCACCTTAATATTTATTCTTAATATTTAAACTAAAGTTTCTACAACATACAAAAATACTGTCTTTCAGAAAACATTTTAGTTACACTACTAAAAGTGGAGGCAATTCATTGTATCCACCAGTTAACTGATATTAAAATGAAAGTGGGTGGCGCAGTGGTTAGCTTAACTGTCTTGCAGTGCTCTGGCCCTGGGTTCAATTCCTGGGGAGCTACTGTATCTATGTGGAGTTTGTGTGATTTCCCATGTGGGTTTCATCTAAGTTCTCCAGTTTCTTCCCCCAGTCTACAGACATACTGGTGGTAGGTGAATTGGCTTCTGGGATAATTAGCCCTGGTGTGTCTGCATTTGTACTGCCTTGTGATGGACTGGTGTCTCATCCCTGCCTTGTGCCCATTGACCCTAAATTGGAAGAAGTGGTTAGAAAATGGATGCACAACGAAATTAAGCATGTCACATCTTGAACAACAGTTTCTATTCTCGTCATGAGGAGCTTATTACTAATCATAATACTATTTACATACACATTTCTACAGTAATTACAATAAAATATTAAAAATGAGAATTGTTTCTATATTTTAGCACAATGAAAACTCCATAAAATATACCAATAAACACAATATGGTAATTGTGTGCAGTACAATAAATACCTACTATGGATAATTTTCAATCCTTGCTTGAGACTTATATACAATTATAATACCTAAAGAAAAAAAATCTTGAGGACTAAGTTAATTTTCAAGGTACACTATATAGTATCTCAAACTCCATTCCTGCAAGGCCCAGTGCCTTCTGATTTTTGTTCTGATCATGTTCTCTGTTACATTTATTTATTTAATTAATTATTCATTGTAACATTTCTAACATGTTTCTAGGTGATTTCTACGCAACAGAACCTTTAATGAAGTGAACGTCTGGCTCTTGCCTAGTCAACTAAAAGACCTTTTGAAAAATCCTATATATTGTCAAAGCTATAGGAAGTGGCTATTGAGGAGTCATAAGAATTAAAGACAAGGATCGACACCTGAGGTGTTCTCTGACTTGTAATGGGTCTGGTTTACCTTGGTTCATTAAATTCTTGGCAAATAATTAAGAGTCATCAACAGTCTGGGAACAAAGACAGAGAGAGGGTAAAAAGAGAACAGGGAGGAGATGAGGCAGACTGCAAAACACAAGGAGAGAGAAAAAGGAGTGCCAGGCTACAGGTTCTGGTTTGGATCAACCAATGAAGACAAGATTCTAGATAAATATTTGAACCTTGTTAAGAGAGTTTGCCATTCTGTTATTCTCAGGGAACTTTTATTTCTTGTATATAAAATCCCTAGATTAAAAACAATCTCACCTGGTCAAAGGATGCATTTAGGGAGATGCATCCCATTCACTTTGTAGCATCTGGATTTATAGAGGGAGAGATTTAACTGTAGGTCTTTAAATCTTTAATTAAGAAGGCAGGCTTAGTTCTTCACAGTTGACCTGTGAGGGCATTATTTAGGATTGGTGCATACTTTGTGAAAGTAATCTGGGTTTTTTTTTCCAAGACATGAAATGTCTTGTTTATAAATAGAGTAATTTGAATGTTTTATGTTGTGCATTTAGTTTATGTTGTTATTTTTTAATAAATATTAGTTTATTCCAATTTGTGCCTGAGTTGACTGAGCTGTGTCAGAGAACAAAGATCTCAAATGCCTCTTACTATACCAACCTGTTGTGTATATTCTTGGTATAATCTTTACAATTAGTCTATTATTCTTGATTATCCCACCCAGTATTGTTTGTTATTCTCTATTTTCTTAACCCAATATTTGTTAATTATCTAATTAAGAAAAGACTTAGAGGAATTGGCTGACTACTCAGGTTGGAACAAAAACCAAAAGACATCCTGTCCAAATCATCAAGTCAACAATCCGAACATCTGCAGGTATCTGCAGGATTGTTCCAGTTTGCTTCAGTGCAGCACAGAGTGTAGGCCAATAGTTGTAAACCAACCCTGGTTAATGGAGAGCTGGAATCTAGCAGGTCTTTTGGGTCACCCTCACATTTCTGAAGACTGAACACATGTGCATTCTGATCTATTTAGGGGGTTAACTGGTTCAGTGAAATCAGGATAAGAAAGCTGTGGTCCAAATGACCGCTCAAAAACCGAATTGAATAGCTCACCCTCTCCAGTGTTTGAGATACTCCAGGTGTTTAGGAATTGGGGGGGCAATGAGTGACCCATCAGACCTGCTGGACTGTGATTCTCAAGGACCCGGGTTGGCCATCCCTTGGTACAGACAAATGTCAAAGATCTCAGAAAGGGGGCAGAGGGCTGGGGGGAAACACTGTTATGCCAAGATGTTCTCTGCAGGAAGAGCCCAGATGCACTGAACAAATGCAATACATCCTCTTCAGACAGGAAGGCTTATTAAGCTTTTCTGGTCTCCAGTGACTGGTGTTTTAGAAAAGATGACAGAATAGACAGTGGTACAGTAAACAAAAGAAACAGATGAAGGTGCAAAACTGTTTGATTTGCATTATGATATCCTTACTTGGTTTTGACTTGGTCCTACCAATTGTGCATTTTTTCACAACCATACAGCTTTGTGCAGAGAATTCAGAGCACAATAAAACACTTTGTAGCTCATATAGGGTTTTATGTCATGGCTGCAGGAGGATTAAAAGCAGTGCTCTGGACTACAAAAAACGATACTGTTAGTCCCTGCTTAGAGAATATACTGAGTGAACTAATTAAAAATATATTCTGTATTTGAATGTTGAGGGTCAGGTTTTTGCTTAATTGTGCTTCACAGTCTGTATTGCATTCAGAGGAATAGTGATTTCATTTACCTGTGGTCCTGGATGCAGCATTATTTAAACAGAGGTAAAATAGAATGCTCTAAAAGTTTAGCTATATACAGTATAGTTAAGCTTATACACATGGGTAAAATATGTATTACACTTAACCATCTTCATTTCATAGTATTCATATTTGAACTCCTAAATCTGTAGTTCTTTTGAATGTATTTTTATTTAACACATGAAAATTAACATGGATATCTGTCTGTGCTCTGAAATTAAAGCCAGACCTGGTTAGGCAGTCTGTCAGACTGAGACTCTCCAACTGTTAGGGATGACCTCTGTACCTGGCCTGAGATGAGCAGAGACATAGACGTTTCACAGGAAATGAGCAGGCATGCATTTTCTATTAGTACACGCTGAGAAATATGTTGCAAATTTTGGATTTTTAGCAGTGGAAGAGACAAATTCACTTAATTACGCTAAAGCAATTTTCTTGCAGTTACAGTATGTCAACCACCTCCCAGACCTCCACTGTCCTTAAATCAAGAACACTTCTGTTACACTATAGTACTGAATACATTTAAAAATGTACATCATTAAATAGTTTCCCCCAGTTTGCTGCCTTATCTTAAATGAAAGAAAACACAGAGATTCAACACTTCAGCTCAAGGGCTACAAACAACACTTTATAAATGCATAACAATCTATTAAAACTCTAGTATGCAGTAATAAATAATTTATATATGAGAACGGTCAGACATTTGTTACCAACTAAACATTAGTAGTTGTTAGTTCATACCAGGCTATTAAACAAGCTGTTAATGCTATCAACTATTACAAGAAACAAAGACTTTAAAATAGTTCAAGTAGGTAGCTGCGTCAGCATGCGCAGATTGCAAAGGAACAAGTAAAGGTTTATTCCATGCTGAAAACAGAAGAAAAGAAACACAATGCTTCAACTGTGGAGCCTTCGGGTGTGAGAAAGGCAGGAAAGTCAGCAGGTAATAAAGCATGGGAGAACAAAAGCCGGGAGTGGAGAGGAGGAGGGAGGAGAGCAGCAGAGTGGGCACTCAGGTGGTGCGAAGTCGAGAGAGGTGAAGAGGTGTGAAGTCAAAACCCTCAAATGAACAGAGAGGATTTGAAGGAAACGAGTCTGTTGTTGAGAGAAGGGGGAAGGTGTGATAGTTTCAGGATAATTTTGGTTTCGGATGTCTTTCTGCAATAGTTGAGAAACCCTTCTTTGAGAACGCAGACAGAGAGATCAGTGTGATCATGACCACTGGAGGTGAAATGAGAAACTATGGGCTTGGAGAGATCTTTGATTCTCCAGCCCTGACATGTTCTCTGAAGAGGTCTCCCAGTCTCCTTCCCGTTTCCCCAATGTAGATAGTTGGACATTTTCTGCAAGAGGTGCAGTAAATAAGGTTGCTGGAGATACAATATGTCATCTGAGTGATCCGGAATTACCCAGAGGGGCCTTGAATGAGGGTGGTATTGGATACATATTTGTAGGTGGTGCAGCGAGTTCTGTTGCAGGGGAAAGTGCCTGGTGTACAGTGCGGGATTTCCCATGAGGCACTGTAGGCACAGTGCCCAGGGCCTACGAAATTCTTAGGGCCAACGAAGGAGGGAAACACTAGTGACTAATGAAAAGCGAGCTGAAACAACATGCTTGCGATGGACTCTAGGTGCTCCAAATCAATAATCATACGCTATCTAGCGGCTGTTCTAGAAACTAGAAGTATAGAAGTGATGGTCGCTCGACTCGCTCCATCAATCACGTGGTTTAGCATTAGAATACTGTAGCGCCCGCACTGGTCGCTTTAGCGGCTGTCTCTGTCTGTCAAGGTCCGACAGACGGAAGTAAATAAACGTGTTGTTCCCGCGCATCAGGGGTGTGCGAGCTTCACTCTGTGCTCCGAGCACTTGTCCGAAAACAAGCGATTTTGACTACAATATGGTTGACTCCCATTCCATATTGTACAGAAGATGTACAACCCATTCTGAGCAGGGTAAAAAAAAAACTGAACAACAGACTGAAGGAAACTTATTGACAACCTCCTTTTGGGATTAGAGATACACCTACTGTATAGTGGCATGTACATCAGCATGCTTCAGCCAACAGCCAGAATGTCTTGTCTTATAGTGAACTGTTTCTGATTTTCCATTGTATGTCTACAAAAAAAGCTGCTTGATTGACACAAACGTCAGAAAGGGGAAAAACCTTTTACTGAACATGTGTGTTACATGGGCCCGGGGACTTTTCTATGGAACTGTCAACCATATGATACTTACAGATTATTTCCTTAAAACTGCAAACTGCAATCTATGATTTTATTAGGGCACCTTCTAGATCACACACAAACATCATAACATACTATTGCACACTATATGAAAGTGCCTTTCGATTCCACAAAATAACCATTCTCCGAGAACGACCAAGACCAAATGTAGATCACCACACCTCCTCACCCTTTTATTCAAAAACTGCTCTGAATAAAGCACTGCCTACAATTACTTCACCTCTGTATGTTTTATCTCATAGCGAGTGTGCTTCTTCATTATTTCATCATTACATACAGTATAATACAGTATGTAATATGACATGTCACATGTTCCATGCATTTTAATATAAGTTATGAGTGGGATCCCCCAAGTGCACAATTGGCACCGCATTGCTGGGGTAGTTTGGGCATCAGTCTGCCGAGGTTTTCTTAGCCTTTAGGGAAACAAGCTTGCAGGTGCCTGTTACTTATCAGGTGTGAGAAGAACATACCTGCAGGTCCTCCTTCTCTCTGTGCAGTGCAGGAGACTGTACCCAGGTAGCTATATGACAAAAAATGCAGACTCCATTTTTTTCGAAAGCGATAACGAAATTGCGTCAGATTAATTTATTTTTCTGTTGGAAAGGAATGAACGAGATTGAGGCAAGAATCAACCCAATTCTTAGGTTGGGACACCAGAAGCTATATCTTTCAAGAGGACGAGGCAAGCAACAATTCTTATGATGCCTAGTTTTTCTAAAATTACAGCCATATACAAAGGTTAAAGATTAAAATATTAGGAACATCCTTAAACAAATTTCTGGGCACCAGTGGGCTTACGGTGGCATGCATTCCACAAGTTCCTGAAATGTCAATAGTCCAGTCCCATCCCATTGTCCAAGTGGGAGTACCCACTATAAATAAAGCTGAGTTGATGGCATCAGCTCTTGGAACTGAACTGTTTCTTACAAGGGGATGTGCTGGAGGCCAGATGGTAGACTCAGCCCAACCATGCATTTACTGCCACTGAAACAATTTATTTGTATCATGGGGGGGTTCCTAATATTTTAGTCAGCAAACATACAGTATTTTGCATATGTTCAATGGCGGTACTAAAATACAAACCTTTCTCATTTTCCGCAGGCACAGAATTCATAGAATCCATTTACTTACGTCATTATTAAACACTACACATCAACAATCAAAGATTCATATCCAAAGTGGTTTCATCCTGTTAATAGCACCATGGTATCATAATTATCTTTTCACATATGCATATTGCATATTCTCATCATTCTATGGTTATTGCTTAAATAGCTTTAAGCTCAAGCTTTGTGGACTATGTACTGCATAACAGTGTAGCTTATGTTCACTCAGACTCTCAGGATCTACTGTACTTTGCAGTAAACCTGAACTGCTGAATGACCGAAAATGAGAATTCGATTCTCTTAATGAGAAAAATAAAAGTTTTAAGAAGTTCACACCGCCTCTTTGTAGGATCTTGTTTTTGTAGATGAGCCTACAAAAAGTGCTTGAAAATATAACTGTGAAAGCAAACATCTAAAGTAACACATGTAAGAGTAAAATTAGGCACACTCTGTAATTATTGTAGAAATGAAACTAACTTGACTTTAGTACAGTAAGAGTGGAGCTGAATTCTGTTTAACCATTCCCAAAGTGGGCATGCTATCTGTCTAAGATATCCAAGACTTGAAGGTAAGTGGCAGAAATATGCATACATGCAACTAAGCTACAAAGCAGTTTGTCAGATTCATTCCAGGTTAACACAAAGGATTAAATGCATTTAGTAAGCAGTCATTACAAATCCTAATCTCTTAAATCTAGAAGGGCATTTTTTACTTATCTGCTAGAAGTTCAAAATAGGTATCGCGGAATTTATCATTCCGACATAAAATTACTGCATATTGTCTTAAGTGATCCAGGACAGAACGCACTAGTTAGATCTGAAACCATAAAAATTCTACTCACTAGATTAAATGGTTTTATGGCACAGTGATCCAAAACCTTAATTGGATGCTATTAAACATGGATGAATGAATATCCACTAGGATCCAGTCTGTTCTAATCTTATATGAAACCAAATTGATAGTTTTACATTGAAAAGATAACAACATATAAAAAACATGAAGTCAGATAAAAACTAGGAAAAAGGAATTTCTACCCCTGTACCCTAACAGTGCCTAAGTGCAGAAGAAGCCAGGGCAGGAAACGTATTTGTTTTTGGTGGATGTTAACAGAGGCCTGCACCTGAGGGCGTCCATTAGACAGCACAAGCCCTGAAGAGCTGTTCCACTACACAGCAAACTTATAGTAGGTCACAGCTTCTACCACTCAGGAGATATCCCACCATTCTCAGGGACTTCGGTCAATGGGCGTGTTGTCACTAAAAGGGGCTCCCTGAGAGACAGATGATTGGGTCAGAAATTATACTAATTATTTACAGAATTATGTTGGGTTTTTTTTAAAAAAAACTCTGCATTCTTTCAGGAGACTTTTTTGTCGCTCCCTGTGCCTGTGTTCTGCTGGGATATTATAAAGTCCAAGAGTAATTTGGCAGTCTTCCTGGGCCGCTCCATCACCACTGAATGGCCACAGTTCTCCAGCAGGTCCACACGGCACCCTGGAATAGCATCAGCCAAGACCGCAGCTCCAGAGACATCCACGACCTGCAAGAGAGAGAGGTGTATCAGTGGCTTCAAAGGACTTCTTCCAAAAGCAGAATTTTAGGATTTTTTTAAAAATGAATTTATTACCTGATCCTGTTTTCCCCAAATGACCTGCACAGGAGCCATGATCAGGTGCATGTTTTCCTGTAAGGAGTGTCTGGACTTTTCCCCAACGATCTCCATGAACACTGCAAGAAATGTGAAACAATGTTTGAAACACTGAGCTCAGACAAGAGCAAGGGAAGAGGAGGGAGCGTCTCTTGAAAGTTATAAAAAAATAAAACACTGCAATATCTTGCCATTACTAGAAAAGCAAAATCAAAGGTCATTACATATCATTAGTTTCAGTCGCTAGACTAAATAGTATAAAAATGACTCATTTCAAGATTTTAAACACTTAATAAGCTGTTTTATGATGGAAAAGGTGAATAATTTTGAGGAAGACTAACTTGGAATTATTTTTAAACAGACTCATAAGTACACTGAACATTATGAATACATGATTTATAACAAGGTCTATGCCATTATCCCACCATTTAAAGTGGAATTAATAATTCAAAGGAGACCGTCTGTGAGCACACTTTTAAAAGAATTAACAAGCCCAGTGACATTAATGGTTTCACTGACCTTCTCGATAGAAATCATTGTGTGGAATTCGAACATCAACCAGGCCCTGGAGAATCTTGAGTGGTAAAAAAAAACAAGTTTAAAAACCACAATATACTGTAACAATTCAATTCCTCTGCCTTCCAAGATATTCAAATCTCTCACCTCACATCACATTTCTCAGTGCTCAGAATTTAAAGGGAACTAGACTTCAACTTAGAAGACAGAGGGAGAAGATTTTATTGCACACAGCTGCCCAGAAGTGTTACTGCCATCCTGCAAATGTTTTTTCAGATTCCAAACAAAGATAAAATCATCTATAATATGAATTACTGTTACAGACGAAAACAGTTACATAAGAGGATGATGATGGAAAATATTTCACCTCAAGTCTATATGTACAGGAAAGGAACACATAATTAATGGTTTTGAGAATACAGTGAATATTGTTGGTTTTAACACTTTTTTGAAACATAGCTTTTACTCTTGATTTCCCTTAGTTATTGAGTTTCTGAAATGCACTTTCAAATCAAACCATATTATTATGACCAGTTTCTTAAAAAGGGTTCATGCTTGTACTGTTTAATGTAATGCTAATATGTACTGTTTGTATATTTTTGTCAAATTTAGCCTTAAGTTATAAGGGTGAAGGATGAAAATTTTTTGTTACCAACAGGATTGTCATCGTCTTGTACGACTTAGGGTTTAATACGATCAATAACCATGGAAACTCAAATTCAAACAAAGTGCTCTTCCAGTAATGTGGGGCATCAGGTTTGTAACATGGGAATACAAGAAGTTCTTATAAATGTGCTCCAAGAGCTTTGCAGCAGAAGATACAACACCTGCTGAGGGACTTTGAACCGAACATAAGAGCACAGTTTCAGCATCTCCTCCATCTCCTCGGGCGTGGATGGGATGAGGGGAATGGCATGCACATTCTGTGTCTTCTCCAGATCCTGCAGCTGTCTCACAAATTTGCTTGGATTAGGATACTTCAGACCTGAGCAAGAAGACAGGACAGGAGGGTAGTGAATGAGTGAATGATGAGGAAGACGAGGTGCATGGGCTGCACATTTAGCAATCTAGGAAAAGTCATGTTTCAAAATGTTTATGCTTTTGAGTTTCTTCAACACTTTGCTGACTAACAGCATTCCTGTTGTATTAGAGCAGATTTAGTTGGTGGTTCTGCGTAATATATTTCCACCTTCAGCATGAGGGCATTTGATCAGGACCAGATTGTACCTCCACAGCTGTTCTTTATCTGATCAATTGAGGCAATCAATCACAATGACCAGAATCCAGCAGTCTTCTGGCAGATTATTAGAACAACCTTTTTGGGATGGTACAGAGATAATGTAGGTCCCAACATGATATAGTAGACAATAGTAAACAGAGTAAGGAGAACACAGAATTAAAAGCAGGAGAAAGACAACAGACAGTACTGTGAGAGAGCTCCTCCTTTTCTCAACCATACAACAGAATTTGTCTAGATAACTTGAGCAAAAAAGAAAGTAACTTTAGGATTTAGGTAAGGGAGAGTAGAACTAAAGGTTTAGAAATATTTATTTCTTTTTTGTGGTTTCCACAAGGCTAGAGAAAACTCTGGCTGGTTTAGTGATGTGTTACATGGGATAGGGAAAACAGGTTCACATGTGTTTTTTTAATCTGTTTAGGGAGTCATTCAGAGAATATTCAGAAGAAGCAGGTTTCCCCCTTTCCCTTTATGGTATTAGTGCCTTAATAATAAATAGGCTGTATAAGAAATTTGAAAACAAAAAGCAACACGTTTATTTTAAGAACCAACGCTGAGTTCAGGCCTCCTATTGCATTACCAACTATACATATTAGATCATGTGCATGCTAGAATGAGTTTAGGCCTCTCACTGCATCACCACATTCGAAAAGCTGTGACAGTAGCAACCAACCGAAGCCTCAACCAGCACTTTCCCCAGACTCACCAGCTGGACAGATGAGAGTGAGGCCGCAGATGTCTGAAGGGTAGCGGGCAGCATACACTCCAGCCACATTGCCACCCATGGACGTGCCCACCAGGTGGAAGGGCTTCTTATTCAGATGGATGCTTTCTATGAACTAGCAACCAAAGGAAAACAGGTTACTTGCTCTGGCAACAAGTGTCATATTGTACCGACAAGAACAGCCAACCCTAACTGTCACAAAGTAATGACCCTAAAACAAAAACCTAAAACACACAGAAGCAGGGTTTGAGAATTATCTGGGGGAGGGGGGAGAGGGGGCCATGGCTGCAAAGGTACAAGGTAAAGATGGACATCCTCCATGTTTTGTTTAGGAGAAGATATGTGCTCTATCTATGTACTAAGTAAGACCCAAGTCAAATCAATACAACAGGGGTGATTGTATTTAATATTAGGTATTTAGTGGGACTGTATTAGGGGATTAGTTGGATTGTATTAGGTATTTAGTGGAGCACCACAGAGATCTATATTGGGATCATTGCTTTTCCCAATTCATACAAATTATTATGTTTCTGGTGGAGAAACAAGTAAAGGTTAATTTCATGCTGAAAAAAACAAAGAAAAAAATATTCAGGTATGAAGAAGGCTGTTGTCACTCTTGGGACACATAATCACAACTGGGGGAGGCCTATCAGTTGTATCTACTTTTCAGCATGGAATTAACCTTTAATCATTCCTTTTTAGGAATCGTGCCTTGACACAACCCTAAGATGCATTCATTCTGAATTTCAGTAGGCTTGGTCACCATAACACAGAAAGGATATTATACCCTTGAAGTTCAAAGAAGAGGAAAGTCTGGCCTCAGGATATTGTCATATAGGAACATGTTAAGGGAGATCAATTTCCCTTAACAAAGGATTTTGAGAGGAGGTTTTATCCAAACATATAAAGCCCTCCTCCTAACATCCCATATGCACTATACAAGAACCTCTCTTATGTGCCTTTCATCCTGTCTATAGTGCTCTGTTGCAGTTCTGCACTGTCCTGCATTACCTAGACTATGTAAATCAATAGGGAATGGCATAGACCATAGAATAAATGCCCCAGAACTACAGATGGACTGACTCTCAGACAGCAGACCTCTAAAAGGGGAGGAGAGAGGATGTACGTACCTGGTGTATTCTCCTGACCTGGCCCTCAATGGAGTAGTCCTCAGCACCAGTGCGTGAGGTGCCTTCATGCCCTGGCATATCTACACACAGCAGGTGAAGATGCTTCGGTAGAAACTGCACGGACCATAACGGTAGTGTTAAGACAGGAAAAAGCTGGCTAATAAACACTGCACTCCAAATAGAGATATTTGTTAGCTTTGAGTTGCGTATAGCAATATTTTTATAATTTCACGTTATAATATCAGCCCATTTACTCATGTTAAAAGCAGTACTTCCCTGCTCTTGAAAAAGCAGTCACCCTTTTAAGACACATGGGTGGTGACATGTTCAATTCAATGACCATGTTTGAGAGAAAGCAGAGTACACTTCCATTCTTATAGAGATGTTAACTGAGAAACCCCTACTGTCAAAGTAAAACGTCCTGCTCAAAAATACAATAACAGTGAACAGTTTTTGACAAGGCGCTTCATTGAAGTACATCTGCAAATAAAAAGAAGCAACTCAATTTGAATATCTCTTAGCTCTACAAAATAGCATATGGTAAATTATAACTTTTTTTTCTTCTTCATAGTGGTCTTATTTGCTATAAGTGAAGAATTTGTATATGCCATCTTATTTAGCTAGAACACCCTGATAGGGTCCAGCTGCACCTTAACCACAGAGAGCCACATGTCCTTGTGTGCGGAGAAGCCGTGCAGCATGAGAATGGAAGGCCGGGTTCCAGGCTTTCCTCTGTAGGAGTAACAGAAGCGGTATGTCCCACTGTCAGCATACCTCACCTGAAGGCCCAGTGTTCTTCTCCAGTACCTGGGGGATCAGAGCACGGACTCCTTAGAACACATAGAGCCCTGTCCTGTCATCATTGGATACAGTGAGGCCGTCCATGCTTCACCAAGACAGACAAGACACAAGCACAGCACAATCTGGCAGCTTGGCCTTAAGTACCATGTACAAGCTGACAAAGAGGCTATCCCATGCCAAGATTCATTCTTAGCCTCTTAATGGTTGTGAAGAAACTGTAGATTTCCATTGTAGGCATGCTCATTTTAATATGACACCGATATGAGCACCCTTTAACTTATACTACGTCATCTGCAGGGGCTTACGACAGCCTACAACTGAAAGATCCATACATCTAATACATAGGTACTGTACCAATCAAAAGCATGACTACTCGTACTTTCTTGCTTGCTGTAACACAGGAATGCAAAAAAAAAACCTGTAACTTCTTGCAAAGTTTATTTAAAAAACATGTTGGTTTGCATCTTAAATGAGAATCTTTAAAAGCAGCCATAAAGCCTTTTCTAAATGTGATATTAATCCACATTGACATTTATGCCAATAACGAGATGCCTGAACGAAAAAGCCTCAAGTGGCCCGTGTCTAGCAGATTGGAATCAGTCCCTCTGCTTGAAATTATAATAATACGCCAGTAGCACCTCTTAGGATATAAAAGACAATTCACAAATTCCTTATGTTAGAGAGGCAGTATTGCAAGGACACTATAAAGCCGTCACCACCCACAAAATACAAACCTTAAATCACAGCATCGGCTATTTTTCCAGATCCATAACATGACGCAGTTATGAGTAGCTGTCTCTGACACTGGACAAGGTCATACAAATGCACTGTCTGCCTTTCTGTGATTTTTTCGATAGTCCATAGACTAGGCTGTGTTAAATTTATACGATAAAGCTGCACCGGTTGTGAAAAAGAGCAAAGCTTAAGGGAATGCCTCTCACAGATGAAATAAAGCCTTCTATGTAAAACGGAAAAAAGTGCCATACAGAAAACAGTTTAGAATAAACAACTTTAGCGGTATCACATGGAGATTTCAGTGGGCCATGTGAACAGCAAACTGTGAAATGCTTTAAGGAAAATGAATCACTGCTTGAGCCCTGTGCCCTGCATTGTGTTCCATTTTGCCTACATTCAATTTCCTTTCGTCTTTAAACTGGATCTGGTAAATGAATGCAGGTAATATAACCGAGCTGTGCTCTCAGTGACTTTCAGATTAACAAGAAGCGGTAATTAGCGGCACAACTGACTCTACCAGTAATAGACTTTGATGAGCGCAGAGGGCCACAAGAGGAAAGAGGCAACGAAAGCCAGGATTGGAATAGCCAGCGTCCCCCCAGCGATGACGAACATGTTCACAACATCCAAATCCATCTCCACAAAGAGCGCGGCCTGCAGAAACAAGAAAAAAACATTTCAGGCAAGACGTTACCTCCATTTCTCCATCTCTTTTAATCAATTTTTTTTTAAAAAAAAGCATATTTCAAAGAAAGCGCCTTAAGTTAATTTGGCATGTGGGATTTCTTATTTCTCCCTGTTGACCTTATTATACACCTTATTCAAATTTCCTTCAGATCAAAATTGCTAATTGCTGTTAAAACAACACATTATTGGAACATTAACTTGGCCTTAAAGGAGCTACTGTATGACACGGCATTATCAGCCAAGATGTTACCCATCTCAAGAAGTCCTCACCACTTGAGCTGGATGTCCGAGGTTATTTCATCTATAAAAACTAAAGAACCGTAGTTTCCATCCAGCATGTGCCTCTTGCTAGCTGGGGTACAGCTGACAGGTGAGAAAATGGGGTTCTACATCCTATTATGAATGAAATTAAGACTATTTAAAAAATTCAAAAGCTCATACCAGAGCAGAGTGGCTCGTCAAGTCAGACCTGTGTCTATAACCAGCACGTTACAGAGAGCAAATGACTCCTCCCCCCACATACACACACTTTTACAGCTGGGTGGACTAGAGCAACTGGGGTAAAGTACCTCACTCAAAGGTACAACAGCAGCGTCTGCCCAATCTTTCCGTCTTAATTTCAAAGCTTTACACAATAATCCACTACTCTGTGATGTCCCCTAGCAGTGAGAAAATGTAATGAAAGACAAATGCGAAAGTTGTTGTGAGCTTTTTCCCCTGTGAAACATCCATGAATATGAATAAGGTTAACTGAGTGAGACAGGGCCCGACTAAAAAAATAATAGGTACGAATAGCAATGAAAAGCTTTTGGAAATGGAGATTTAATTTACTTTTTATCAAACACATCCTGTATTCATCCAAAAGTTATTGAGCTGTTGGGTTGAGATGAGGCTAGATGAAGTTAACCGTCCTCAATGATTCATCTCCACAAATCAATCAGTTCCAAATTTAGACATTGTCTCCTGTAAGAGAAGTCAGCTGTGGTTTATGTTTTCAACGATTAATCATAGTGTCTTTGTTTGAGAAGAATCCTGGAGGTATAACCTGAAGGTTAACCCGGGAACAGGATTTAAATTTACAAAGAACGCTTACCTACAATAAAGCATGTTGTGTACATTTTAATGAAGTGTCCCAGGTTCTTGAATAATTGTGGTCCTCCAACGGAGAATCACAGTAAAGCAGAGGTCTTGCAAATGCAATGGAGCATGATTCCCTTTAAGGCAAAAGCTTTCTGACAATGTCTTTCCTACATCCAAACAGCACAGTGACAAGCACGGTTGGTCATGCAGAAACACAACCCAGGAAAACTATTGCAAATGATGACAGAAAAAGACATATAATGCAGAGGATAACATGGACATCAGACTATCCTAAGTACACCCATGAGTATTATAATACATACTTAAAAAATGTCCATAGGCAAAAATGAGCAGACTGAAGCAAGCATGTCATAGAAAACAGAACACAAATGTATCACGAATACACTCTTGAAAGTTTGAATTTCACATCACACTCTTTACTGTGCCAGGATAGTCAAACTCATAGTCCCCAGTACACCCTAACCAATGCCTTTCACCATAACATAACAAAAAGCAAGACCAAATTTATCTCCACAAATATGGTAATTAATGCTAAAGATCTGAGGAATAATAAGTTTATTCAAGTCAAAGGAGGGTACTGCAGACACAGCTTTAAATAAATCTTACAAACTCATTCAGAAGGGCTAGCTTCTTCTTATTAAACAGACAATCCACCTTAGTTTATTATATAATCAGTATATATCATTTGAAAAACAAATTAGCAGTTTTTAATTGTTTTACTGTGAAATTAATGTAATATTACAGTGTTATTTTGTTTTTATGCATGAGGTATATTAGTGATGGATTTATGTCCAAGGCAAAGGAGGCTGTGAAGGCTCAAGGGACAGAAACAAACTCTTTGTTGAGGAAGAATGAAAGAACTACAGTGTCTGCAGGTATGACTGCTGGAAATGAACGTTATGTAACTCATTGAGTATATTTCCACCTTTGTGAAATAAAGCCTACACAAGTTGAAGTAGAATCACTTCTTCTTTCAGGAAACAGATGAATGAGATCCTTGGATCGATTAACAACTAACTGCCTATGGACTAGCTGGGTCACATGGCCTCCATTTGTTTGTAACCTTTCTCCTGTTCAATGAGTACTGTGGAACTAGCTTTCTGGAGCACAGCAAGCACCCTCCTATTTGAGAAATGGCCCAAAGGAACCAGCAGACAAAATGAATTCTTCAAAATTCGCCAGCATGTTTGAAACACTGCAGTTTCTAATACATGTCTAATTGCTGTGCTGAACATGGTACTATGAGTATAGGTTCACTTTATGTACATCCTCAAGTTACAATGGCTGTCCTTTATAAACACATGAAATATTGATCTGCCTAAGGCCTCATTTACAGCCGTACAGCATAATGTACAGGAGCAGTACTGTATACTGAAGAATAAAAAGGGAGATCTGGAATGATTAATGTGCATGAGAAGCACCAACTTTTCTTAAACAGATAAGACGAAGCTTAATCGGAGTAATGAATTTACATTCGTCATCAACGTTGGTCTCCTGTGAAAGTCACAGGCTAGTAGCATGTGACCACTGTAGAAATAATACAAGCTGCTCTGCACTAGGCTGTAGATGTTATCTAGTGGAATTCTGTCCCAGAAAGAGGTTGGATGAGCATGTGCTTGTTCACTTGTCTCAGTACCCTAGATACCACAAGACGTTCCAGTGTTTTCCACAAATGCTCAATGGGGCTCAAATCTGGCGAGTAACTGACCCTCATCTGGCAAGGAATCCACATGCACTGTCCATCTGCATGTCATGGTCTGTCCACAGGAAAGGTCACACATGAAATCCCAGGGCTTGATCAACGTAGCGCCGTGCAGTCAGGTTCCCATCAATCACTACAAGCAGAGTTCTGAACGGACCAGACACCTCGGTCCAGAGAGCCCACTTGGACCTCCACAGCCACACATTGGGATCTGCTGTCCCCATCACTGAGCAATTTGTCTGCCCCCTGGATACAGAACCTTTTATAAAGGAGACTTATCTCCCTCTCCTGCTTGTGGATCCACCCAAGGTGACTTAGTCCAGCCCCCGACATACCGAAGACATGAAGATATTGTTCTCTTCCTAAATCGGGTACACTGGCGCTTTTCCGATGTCCTTTCTTGATTTTCTCCATGGTTAACATGCCACAGGCTAAACCGTCTTATCACCAATCGGCCATTTCTTATGCTTTGATTTAGTGATTACATAATTGAGAAAGGTACTCCAGTGTCATGTTCTCTCGATCAGACGAGGACAATGACGCCAGAAAACGTTAAATCAAGATCCAAAATACGTATAACTTTTTAAACAATTTTTTCATACTCGGGATACTATTAGAAATAGCCCAGTATGCTCAGATATCATCAGCAAAAAGACCATGGTTGCAAATATCAGCAGAAAAGATGTGCAACGTTGCCTCTCACAAGAATGCATTACAATACGGAAACTGCTGACAACGTATGTCTCACTGTTACGGCAGTAGCGCTTAATGAAACCGCTAGTATTTCTCGGTAGATAGTAACTTCCAACTTGTGATCTTAATGCTAGCTTTATTGGGATACAGTTCGGTTCCACCAGATGACCTCGTTCATCGGAATCGTATTGCATAACTCCAGCCATTCCTGTGACGATTTCACGTCAAAGTTCAATGTTAATGTCATAAAGCTTAAAGGTGCTTCGATACGCTGCTGACAACTTACAGAACACGAAGGCTACAACAGTTCAATATTACCCTAAAACATGCACAGTCATTCTTACCACTCAGTTTTATTAGTAATAAAAATCTATTCAAGTTAAACCGGTCCCCTTGGCAAGCGCTGTATTAACTGAAATAACAAACGAATTTAAAGGCATCAACCAATTCTAGTTCGCTCTTAACTATAAACTCAACATTTTATCCTTAAATACATACGGGGTCTGTTTAAAACTACAGAAGTTCCGCTAGTACGATTTTTGTTTACAGTGCAGGTTAAAAATCATTCAGGGAAAGTTACGACAACGCGAGTCCGATTTTCACATATGAAATAGATACTAATACAAACAGTATCAACAAAAACAAACATCGTTATACACCAGCACCTGCTCCGACTTAAATTCGCTTATTATGTAAAATAACATCGTTAGTCAATCGAAACGAAAATATTCTATACGAAAATAGAGCAAAGGGCTGCACAAATGCCTTCATTTACCTTGCTAAATCTACACAATTACAACACCGGTCGTTTTGTAATTAATACAATACTTGCACCTGGTTTTAGGAGAGTCCCTTTACCTTTTTTTATCCTCTTCAATTTCGTGCAATGAATCACCTTCACACTAAAAAGAAAGAAAAAAGAAAAAATATGAGCGGACTTCAAAACACACGAATATTTCCCAACACATCTTTTATCTATTGTGCTGATTCAAACCCCATTCTGCAGCAGTGCTATCACTTTGTTGCGACGCTTTTAAAGGGAAGTTAAGACCTGTCGGCTTTTGCCGACAAAAAACCTATCTAATGAGTTGCACGCATAAGCACAGAAGTATACAGTATTTTATTTTCTTGTAAACTGAACAAACTGAATAGTAATATTACATCTCCGCATACCAGAGATTATGGCAAATTACTCATCTTAATCATGATTTTTCAACGGTAGTCTATTATAACGACCACAGTTTACTGTTACTGTTTCTTTTTTCTTTTAAGTTACAGGGCAAAATTACATTGAAAAATAAATTTCGTATCTGAAGTTTTTAGAGATTCACGAAATTAACAGCTTTATTATTAATGAGATATTGTAAAATTCCAAACACTACTTACTTTATTATATCCCATTACTAAATTATTATCTCTTGTCGTAGTTCATTTCACATTTAAATTAAACTCATAAAGCCAAACAAAAAGTTTTCAAATCAAAGACAAGAATAAAAAATGAAAGACAGACAAGATAATGTGCAGAGTGAACAAAAAAACATTATTGCTGTATTGCTATTTGGTTCTTGCAGTTCTCTTCAAAACCACCTGGAACCTATGGTAAACAGCCCCAGCCCATATATTTTACACATAAAGTCACAGATTCACGATATTACCTGTTTGAAAACAAAGTGGTTTTGAGAGTCTCAAAACCTTAATAATCTCGTGTGTAACCCAGATTCTTCAGTGCCCCCAGCAGCAGTAAAAGAGGTCCAGAAATGTCAAGGACAGGGCAGAACACAACAGCTGGGCTGAATAGACTGATATCAGGTACAGCCTGAGGAGTCAACCTCTTCCAGGCCTCTGGAAAGTTTATGTTGACCAAGGCTGATGTGATAGGTTCAGTATTCAGAAAAGTGGGCGGCACTGAGGTGCAGTAGTTAGCATTGCTGCCTTGCTGTGCTGGTATTTATTTTGTATTGGCGTCCTGGCCAAATTTCCCATTGGCCCTTACCAATCATGGCATCCTAATAATCCCCATCTATGAATTGGCTTCATTACTCTGTTCTCCTCTCCACTGAGAGCTGGTGAGCGTTCTGGCGCACTATGGCTGCCGTTGCATCATCCAGGTGGGGGTGGTGGAGGGGAGTCCCCATTACCTGTAAAGCGCTTTGAGTGGAGTGTCTAGAAAAGAGCTATATAAGTGTAAGCAATTTTTATTATTATTATGTTAAGAGGGCTTCAGATCAGGGCAGGAAACACTGAGGATAAGGCACAAAACTACATCAACACTAGGGCTCTTTTGGCTCATCTTTGCAAGTTAACATCAATACAGCCCCTGACTCCTGGTGACCGAAAAACACACTCCTTTCACTCTATGACATGCCAGCTCTATTCAAAGGTGTCCAACTTATTTCCAAAATACTGAGCTTTTTCAACATCGCTGATGTAGTGTGGAATGGTGTTCCATATGCAGTAAGCAAAATGGTTTTCATACACAAACGTACCAAAAATAACAGCATGTATAATGATCTTAAGCAGAATACAGACAACCTACATAATTTAGTTAGAAAATAATTTCAGTGCCCAAATGGATGAGAGCATTTGTTCACTCTCTGTGGGTTTAACATATTTAAAAGTCAAAGGGGGTGGTATTCTGCCCATGCAAAGTGGAGCCCAAATTCGTTAGTGAGGTCCGTTTGGTAATTAGTTCTTCAAAATGAATACTTGTGTGAGAGTTGAACTTATGATGGGTTTTTTTTGCTTGCACAGCTGACAGGCTGCCTAAAATAAGACACTAGGGGAAGGAGATTGTGTAGCAGTTGTGACAATTACGGGAAATAACTCTTATCTCCTAGCGTACTGTCACTGTCTTTATAGAGCTGACGGTGACAGTAAACGGGACAGAACTAAGCTAATTATTGCCTGGTTCAGATGCTCTTAGCGATGTATTTACAGGTATCCTTGCTGTTTTTCATCTGGACAGGGGCATTGACCTTAAAGATATGCTCATTCAACATACAATCATTTGGAGAAAGCAAAGTAGCTAAGCCAGAAATCTTGGATGTAATAGGAAAGGTAAGGGAAAACCTTCATGCATATGAGAAAGATTAATTTTCAATGGGTGTCCCATCCCAGACATCTTTAACAAAATATTATTTTGTGTCTAACAAAGTACATGATATCAATTGCAGTAATTTAATTTTAGACATCTTTTGTTTATTATTAAATATGTATTATTTATTTTGCTTTTGATATCGAACTTTTGCAGATACAGCCTCTACAAACCCTTTTTATTTTATTATGTTTATTATGTTATTTGATCACAAATGCAATTAGTTACTTTGTTCACTTTGAATATGTCATAACTTGTCAAGTTAAAATTACATCTGATTTAAGTAGTTCCCTGTGGGTTGATGTTCTCCCATTCTGAACCTTGCCCAGAAGTGTGTTGTGAGTATGATACAATCTGATTCTGAACACTTTACCTGTTATGAATTGCTGTGGTTGAGGTTCTTTCCACTTTCTGAATAAAGAAGACCTTTTCTGTTCCTGTGTCCTTTATGGGTTTTGTGCTTAATAACAGGCTTACTGATTTCAGTTGGCTTTTTAAGGCTATTTGAACTTTTTTTTTAAATGATAATGATATTAATGCTAAACTACAGATGAATTCTACTTGAACTGCTGAAATGATTCATATTGTGCTGTTTCAGTGGGTGCTCAGGACAACCGGTGCTTGATCTGCTTGCTTATTCATCAATTTTTTTGCATTAAGCAAACCTTTTTTAAAAACACCCTGAAGTAAGTTATTTCTAAACACTTCAGCACATAGAACTTACTGCAGTCTGACCTGAATTTGCTAATTACAAATTTGCTGCTTTCTGACCAAAGCGCTCAAATCAAAATTGACCAAAAATGAGGTGATTCAATGAATGGTTCTTTTTCACACCTGAAGAAAGGTAGTTCTGAAACATAGGAAATTACTGTACAGGTTTGTTACCAACAACAAGCCCTGTAGAACTTTGTAAAAGATGGAATATCTTTTTTAACAGAAAATCAACATACATTACTTTGCAATTAACAGCTTGGCAGGAGCTAAAACATGAAGACGTTCTATTCCCCCAGGAGCAGGTTTGAGACCCACTAGTCTATTAATTAGTTACCACTGTGTTGTTAAGAGAGAAACCTGGGCAGTAACACATGTGCAAGGGTAACCAGGGTACACTGTCCAGGCAACATCCAACATATAGGGGTGCCCCTTATTCACAAAAAAAACTTAGCAGCAGTGGCAAATATAACATGAGGGATATCTTCTGCCTGGAGCCGGGCATTAAAACCCTGTGCGGCAGACACACTGTCTGCGTTACAACCCGCAACAATTTCCAGAACCATCTCAGTCTATATGCCGCACCAAATACCGTACACTGGGCTTTGGCGTCATCTTGTGGTCAAGGACAGAACTTCAACAGCTTGAGATGGAGAACAAAGCTAACCTGTTTATTTAGGAAACATTGATCCCCAAAGCCCATATTGCTTGAAACATTTGATTCAATTTTTATGTTAATTTTATAATCATGGTTCCATACTACTTGTAGTATGTGCTACGTATTCTGTCGAGTCTTCATCTCAAATCCCTGATCAAGCCTGTCTTATTTTAATTTAAGACTATTCATATGATCTTTTCCCATTTAAACATCAGGCATCAACTATTGAACTGATTTTTTTAAAGTGTATAATTGTCTTTTCTTCAAGCCAGAGTTTCTTCCATGTAAGTTGATTCAGTTTGTCTCAAGTGACAGAAACCCCTGTACACTGATATTGGCATTCACTCCAAACGTCACATGTACAGTTTCCAAATCAGTGCTCCCGTTAACAATTTTAGATCAAGACATTGATCTAAATCCATAATGTGAATTGAAGACTTTTCACATTAAAAAAGACTGTCCAATATTGTGAGATTCCCCTAATTGCTAGTGAGTTTTCACAGAGAACAGCTGAAACAGATATTTAAGGTCAATGCTCCTGCTTCCGAGGTTTGTTTCATTTCCTAAATGCAATGCTGTAAACATCATGCTGAACTCAATTTACAGTACTATGAAAAAAATCTGTATTCACCTTTCGGTAATCAGCACATTCCAAATCGCAATTAGGCTGATTCAGTGACTCTCAAGAAGAAGCTCTTCCTTATCCAGCTGACATTATTTATTTATTTTTTTTGCTGACTCAGAGACCTGGGAATTCTGTCTTGTCTTCATGTCCACTGTTTGAAAGGTCACGTCTTCCCTTGTAGTGCATTTCCCGCTGTGACATCGCACTGGTGATGGAAATCAAAGATGCCAGTGGGAAGGTTTTTCCACAGCTCATGACCCACCTGAACAGGTACACTATTACATATTTTTATGCACAATGAAGTTAACTCAGCAAGGGCGGTTTTTGTACGGCGACCATATCATGCCGGAAACGAAGAAATAAATACTAGTTTGAATCTCTAATGCTGATTCATTATCTCTATCGACAGAGGTAATAAAGAGATCAAGTGAAGTATGCACAAAGGGCCATGATACTATATCAGAAACAGATGGAAATTGTAGGGTGGATCAGTAAAGACAGCTTTGGTCTGTGTCCCGCATCGGACTGGGATCCTACATAGAGTGTAATTCTGCCTTGTGTTCTATGAGGGTTTCATCTAGCCTCTCCTGGACAAAGTGACATTCTCATCATAGACTGATGAATCTGAGTTCAGTGATCCAAGTGTTTTTTTTTAATATAACAGCTACACACATACCTTGGACTTGGTAAAGCTTTGTTGACTTTGTTAGTTTGCCAGGTTGTCATTATTTTGTGCACCATTCCGTTATTTAACAGGCGGCTGATAGACCCTAATCCGGCCAGGTAAATGAGTGCTAAAGACATGGTTGAGAAATGTAAAATCAAACAACTTAATGCACATTTCTTTCTCACATCGCACTGAACAGCAGTTCATACTGTTTGAAGGTGATGCTTTTTTTTTCACAGCCAACTTAACCGGAAGAAGGATCAGTATAAATATGTCATCAGTGAGAGACTGGGAAGGAAATCATACAAAGAGCAATATGCCTTTATTTTCAGGTACTGTTGACCTTTTAATCCCAAGCATTTTGACGTGGTATATAACCAGAAGGTACCTGCAGTTGTTCATATACTCTTAGGAATATGAACCTTTTGTACAAACAAAAAGACTGCATTTTATTACCACATTATATACAATTTATCATGGTAACTGTGCCAATAACATGGTAATATAGTATAAATGTAACAATATTTATCCACTAGAAAACAATAATGAACATTATCAACACATACTTGCTTTAACCCAGAGTTAACTTGTTAAACTGTTAAAAACAGACAGAAATTCTCAATCTAAGGACTCACTACGCGGTGTTCTATAAGCAAGTCAAAAATAGGAAAAGGAAGGACAGTTTAAAGTTTTAAAGTTAGTAAGTTAAAGACATTATTTGATTTAGAATCCAAAATATTTATACAAATCACAAGTTAGAATAGCAAAAAATGATACCAAATATTTTGAAAAATGTATACAATTTAGTAAACTCAAGATGCATGTAAAAAAAAAACAGATTTTACTGAACTAAAAATATGTTCGAGAATCTTATAAACAGCTGCTGAGGATAAGACCAGATGACTTAGGTAAACCTTCTTCATGCACTTCTTTAGTATTTGTATGAATATTTGCCTTTTTAATTACAAAAGAATGAGTTCACTATTTCAGTGAATAGTAAACAACATTTCAGCAAACACAAGTACTCGCAACTCCTTAGCAATTAACAGCATTTCTGCAATGTCTACATTTCCTTGTACAGCTGAGAAAATGAAGCAGAATATTTGAAAATGTGTGGTAATTTTATTGCTGTCCCTTTCACAGAGAAAAGCTAGTGTCGCTGCAGGCTGTGTATCAGTACCCTGACCAGCAGGAAGAAGGTGAAGTTGAAGATTCGTTTGCACGAGAGCCTTTTATCTCCTGGTTTACATCCTCCAGAACAGGTACAGCACTTACTGTAAATTCTCTCCTACTATAACCTTACTGAACGGAAAGGTAAATTTCCAATTTGAGGTGCAAGGTTCTGCCTCTTACATATGGTATTGTTTAGCATGTTTAGACAGCTGTGTCACTGACACACTGCAGACATGTTTGCCACTTACCCGTAAATGTCTAAAACAATTTCTGCTGCCACTGTGTTTCACCATGTTTGTTTCTATGAGTTACCTTGAAAGCCACTCTCAGGTGTCTTCCACCTTGTTGCTGTTTACTTCTTTTTAAAAATGAAGGTGACAGGGCAGCCATGCCCCTGCTCCTGTTTAAAAGGGCCGCAAAATTGCCTTCCTTATACTGTACGTTTGAAGATAACAATTGCCAAATTAACGGAGTAGCAAGCATCAGGGATCATTTTGAATAAAGTCTCTTTGGAAGTTCCAATTTATGTAAACGTGACAGGATTCAGCTTTTTTCTGCTCTTGATTCTCAATGTTTTGTAGCAATAAAGAATTTTGTAATAATCCCGATCCACACTGCACCGGAGGCTGCAGTCCGAGAAATAGACGCTCTTTATGATGTTTACATGAACACAACACAGCGCTGGAAAATTGAGGTCAGACTTCATCCTCTGTTGAACTCATGTACTCGGTGACCCGTTTAAACTTTCTGAGATCATCTGAAGGACGGTGGATCAACAAAACGTCCAGAAAAAAATCAAGGACCATATAGACCATTTATGGACCATAAAAGAAAGATCCATGCTCCTAAAAGCCTTCAAAGAAAACACATAGCCCTTGCACTAGTATGCATTAATGTATGGGAGGTGATAATTAGTGGTTGATTTTCAAGGATGGGCTCTGAGCAACCATTTTATATTTGTTCTTATAGAATATTATTATCATGGGCGACTTCAATGCAGATTGTGGCTATGTACCCAAGAAGAAATGGAGGAACATCCGGCTGAAGTCTAACAGCAGCTTTGTTTGGCTCATCAACGATGAAAGTGATACAACTGTAAAGGAATCCACTCACTGTGCTTACGATAGGTAGGCAGAGCTCTGTAGCTTTATTCAGCCACAGCCTCATTGAGCTACTGTAAGGAGATCGAGATGAAACAACGTCAGACAGCTGAGAACTTGGAGCTGATCACTAAAATTAGTCAATTTATCAAAATCATTCCTCAGGTCTTAAACTATTCAGCTGTACATACATTCATCTGTATTTCTATTCATTCAAATTAAGAATACTTGCCGGAGGCCCATATCTACACTGCTGTGCTTATAATCGCTCCAAATGAATGTTTGGACACGCCCCCCTGTTTTCAGCCCCATATTCCTGCATGACGTTTCCCTAGTGTTTCCCCACTTCTTCGGATTGTGTCGTCCGCATAGGGTCCGGAAAGTACTGTTCGTTACACAAGCGAAATTAACGTGTAAGCCATGTTACACTTGCCCCAGTCGTCCAGGAAGGTGCCACACTTTAAACTCACACATGACACAGGTCTTCATTTTATTTTGGCAGGGCATTGTTAGTTTTTAACCAATTTGTAAAGCCCGTGCCATAAGGTTGCTCAATGAATTGCTTTTGGAACGTGTTGGTCCAATCCCATCCGTCTTCCTGCAGAATTGTTCTTCATGGGCAAAACCTCGTCCAAGCTGTGGATCCAAAATCAGTGAAAATATACGACTTTAAAACTGCCTATGGACTAACAGAGAAAGAGGTATTGTATTTTCAATTTTGTGCTAGAGCATATGTACACCAAACACTTATTACTTATTTTTTAAACTTGGTAAGGACTTTGTTACATTTGTTTGCTAACAGTATGTCGTATGTTGATGTTTCTTATAAAAATACTAGACAAAGAGTATTTTAAAAAATATTTGTCTATTCAGTGAAGAGCTTTAAAGGGTAACTGCAACACTATTTTTATATTTCAGAGATAGAAAGACTCAACACTGATGCATTTCAAACCACAATGACAGTAAAATGTACACAGTCACGTGTAAAACGTCCAATTTACATCACAAAATAGATTACATTTCCAGGTGTGCACAGTTCCATATTCTGCGATTCAGAACAAGGCAACAAAACGTCCAGTGACATGATGCAGCCCTATTGTATTGTAAATAAGCAGGCATGTGAAAATATCTTTTAATGCAATAGAAATGTTGCTCTCAACTTTGAAACAGTTTTGCCAACAAATACACATATACTTGTTAAATCTGGATGCAGATCACATTGGAGCAGTTATGTGGTGAAATGTCTGCTGCACAACCTGTATCTATTCACTCGTACATCTCATTAACATTAGTCACTACATTAGTGACTAGTGAGCACGAAGGGCTGCATCACGTCTCAATTCATGGGGACTCTCCCTCTCGCCCGTAGCGAGACCAGTGGTTCGCAACAACATGGCAACTTACAGTACTTTCACAAAGTTCACGATTTTGTGCTTAATTCAACATGTCAAATTTTTCTGTACTGCCAATGAATTTATTTTGTGCCCGAGATTTAATAATGGGTCTGAGAAATTGGGATAGCAGTTCCCCTTCACGCCTGTTTTGACTTCTTTTTCCCAACTGAACTTAATTAAATCATTAAATAAACATCCTGTCTTACACCCTTGTTTGCCAGAATACTGTAGATTCTGGCTCCCTTCTGGTGACCCTGAACTGGAAGAAAGGGTTAGAAGAAGGATGGATGAAAACATGTTACCTCAGATTGCTTCACCTCAGACAGAACACAGTTATCTGTTTTTTAGAAAATGTGATTTACGGTATTCCATGATTAGTATCCAAGGTATTACATAGTTTACATTTAATCTCTGTTGTATAATTAAAGGGTTGTGAATAAATGGAAATATTTTAGTTGGGAATTTAGCCGTTTTGAAAAATAAACTGCTGATCATAGTTTAATATTTTTAATGTTCTTAACCAGCAGCTATATCAACCTACAACTCACAACTGGCAACCCACTGAAGCTCAGCAGGTATGAGCCTGGCCAGTACCTGGATGGCAGATCTCCTGGGAAAGCTAAGGTTGCTGTCAGAAGAGGTGCTAGTGGGACCAGTAGGGGTCGCTCACCATGCAGTCTGTGTGGGTCCTTATGCCCCAGTATTATGATGAGGGCACAATACTATAAAAAAGGCGCCGTCGTTCAGATGAGACATAAAACTGAGGACCTGACTCTCCGTGGTCATTAAAAATGGCGTCCTAATCAAATTTACCAATTATGGCCTCCTAATAATCCCCATCTATGAATTGGCTTCATCACTCTGTTCTCCTCCCCACTGATAGCTGATGTGTGGTGGGAGCGTACTGGTGCACTATGGCTGCTGTCGCATTGTCCAGGTGGGTGGTGGTGGAGGGGAGTCCCCATTACCTGTAAAGCGCTTTGAGAGGAGTGTCCAGAAAAGTGCTATATAAGTGTAAGGAATTATTATTATTATTAATGTTTAAGTCTTTCACAGTTTCAAAGTTAAACTGCACTACATAGCTGCAACTGTGTTAAAGAACAGCAATGTTAGATTGTCTCCTTTTCCATCCCAAGATTTCGAGGACCAGTCTGCATTATGATCTTGTCATGCCCTGTGGCTCCATGTTGCATCGCCTGTCTCCCACAGGCTCTAGCAGTCAGCGATCACTTCCCAGTGGCCTTCAGCGTCATCTCAGGCCGAGAACCGTCTCCCCTGAGCAAGAGTCCAAAGAAACGAGCACGGAAGAAAACGAGCTCTGCCTCTTACTCTACTGGAGCACTTCCTGCAGAGTTTCCCCACTAGCATACCATAAATAAAATCTGTCTGCAGCTACTGGCCTGAAACTGTATAACACAGAGCTGCCTCTACTCTGATTCACCATGTTCGCACCCTGTGAGTTTTATTATTATAAGGAGGCTTCAAAAGTCAGAATGCTAGATGTGAAATAAATAGATAATATAGAAATACATTCAATTTCCTCTTATTGTTCTCTAAATTAGACTTATGAGATTCTTGCACTCCAACACATTACTGGAAAGCTCATACGTTTTCAGAAGCACATAGCTCCAGAATTTGGTGTGCCCTTTCCTTGTTTATTGTTTTTCTGAAAAACAAACCTTTATAAATAAAGGTGATCCACTTTATCAAAACAAGCAAAGTAGGCATTTAAAACTGCAGCTTTCTGCCTTTTCAGTTCCATATCCTAGACCTTGATCACCCCAACCTCATGGAGCTGCCTCACTGTTGTGACGAGGGTGTGACACCAGCACAGGAGAGACAAGGGCGCCTTCCTCTGAAGTCAAGCCCATCAGCTGCTTCTTGTCCTGTTCCATAGTTCCTGCAGGAGGCTTTGTGCCAGCTGGGGGAAGTGAGATTACCTTAGGGGTGACAATGCTGACAAAACTATATTGATCATCAGTTGATCAGTACTGGGCCAAGGCTGGGGGGGATTTCAGCTGGCTAATGACATTCTCCATAATTAAAGGGCTCTTGCCTATCTCCAATGGTTGGCCACTCAGAAGCACCCTGATTGTAAATGATAGAAGATGATAATAATGGAGAAACGCTTGAAACTCATTATCGATTTAGTGCTATAACTAATAATCAAATATTTCCTCACAGAATATACCATTTTTCTGGAAGGAGTCTGAATAATGCAAACGTTTTGAAGGAAAAAAATCTTTGCCTTGTAGGCAAGGCAAACACAACAACCACAGAAGCCAACCTAACCTCTGTCCTTTGAAACAACTATTAATAGATGGAAAATTAAAATAATTCCACTTATTACAAAACAGCTTCTACTAAGTATCTGAAACATGAGTGAACTTGCTGAGGGCATCTGTTGAAGATGAGTCAGAGGAACTGGATTCATTCTTTAAAGAAACTCTGACCAAAGTGTGGCAGTTTATTTAGGAACCATAAAATATGTACTGCTGGCTCGAGGGTATTTGGATTTCACAGTTGCTAGGTAACAGGTAAGGCTATTGTTCACACACATTTCCAGGAGTCTGTAGAACTAGCAATAAGCTAGCTTTTGCACTCACCAATACATAGAATTTCACATTTTCATGTGGATTTTCTATGTCATTTAAGCTGGCTTTTGGCTGATTCCGTTTCGAAGTTAAAAAGAGTCTGATGAATAAGAAACAAGGGGAACATTTCATCCAATGTGTTTTTTCAGTACAAATTCAACCACAGGTATTGCTGATCACCAGAGCTCCTTGAACTCATATTTCACTCCTGCTGTTTATTTTGTATATGGTTATGCACTTATTTTTGCCACTTCTTAAGAATGATAAAAAGACCGATACTCATAGGGTAACGAATATGTTTTGCCGAAGTGTTTTTGTGAACATCCTGTGGCAGCTAATTGCAATTTAAAGGGAGGTGTGTTGCTATAAAACGCACACACACACAGAAGAACATCAAACAATACCAACAGAGAATACCAACCAGCATTAATGTACAGTAGGTCAAAAAGAGTTTTTCACTTTTTATGAAATGGATCATTGATGGCTTTTCTAAGGTAGTTTTATCCTGTGAACAGAGTTGAGGAATTATAAGTCTTTCCATTAATCTTAGCATGCCTGAGGTTTATTCCTCTGCTTCTGTATTAAAGACTAATATGTTCACAGTATCCTCAATAGGAACAGCATAATATTGGCTGACAAAAAATAATATATTTAAAGCAAAGAAACAGTGGATGTTTTTTCCTCATTATCCCAGTTGATCTGTTGGAGAAGGGAAGTTGAAAATTCCATTTCTGGCATAAAATGTGTCCTTTACGATTCTAGATCTTCCCTTGATTGGAGATTTGTCTTCTTTGGCATAATCTCCTAGAAATAAAGTAAGTTAAAAATAAATTCAGTGTTCTTTATTCATGGACCATTACTCCTTCCTATTTTATTGATTTTGGGTTCTACCAGATTTTACTTGGAATTTTATGCAAGACAAAAAAATGTGTAAAATTAGCTTTGTTTTGCAATTTGCTCTTGCAACAGAATTGACACACATTATTTCTTAATAAAAATGGAGATTGCCAAAAAACGGACATGTTGTGCTGTGTTATTTTGTTATGTTTTTAAGTTCTAGGTATTATATGGTCTTCTTACCTTAAAAACTGAAATGGAGTTTGAAGGAGTACTTACCAAAAGAATACCACCTTATACCATGTAGTTACTGTATACTGAAAAAAACAGCCTGATTTTATAAATATTTGTTTTATAGCTAGTCAATGAAATATTGTCAACAGTATTACTTGGACATCAAACTAATACCATGTCCTAATAGGGTAAAACACAGGTCTAGATTGTGAAACTGAATGATGAGCAAGACATTGTACATATATGCCTAGTGAACAGAAATCTGTAGAAAGACAAATCATTCTAGTGTACTTGAAAAACCTACAGATATAAATCAGAGAGCAAGGCCTGTACACTTTACAAGTTCACAATTTTTTACAAGGAACTTATTAAGGAGCTGATTAAAAAGAAATGGATCCACCTCTAAAGAGTACCAATATTATATTAAAATGCAAAGCATAGTTAACATAGGGAACTTACAATGACAAATTCTAGCTTAATATAGCCAGTTGTCCCTGAATATAAAATGTAGCTTAACAAAATTCTTTGGCATTCCCAGACCAGAAACAAGGTTCTGGTCTTCCAAACCCTCCAAAAAGTGCTTTTTCAGGAGAAGTCTTTACAGAAAAAAATGTTTTCATGAACAGCTGTGTAACATATTCTGTTGACTTTCACTTTATTGCCCTTTTCTTCAGTGTTTTTGTCAACAACAACAGAAAAAGTGCATCGTTTTCAGTAACAGATTAAAAGTGGTTTCGTTTTGCACAGAGCAAGATGCCTTTTTCTTGATGCTGGTGTCTCTCACTCACCTAGTCTCCAGCCATACTCCCAGGATGATATGATGGGGTGCTCAAACTTCTTCTCTGGGCTTTTCATTGTTCTGTTCCGTAAGTAGAGGGACCTGCCTTTACCTTCTTTGGAGAATCCTTGGTACAGGACCCCTCTGGTTTGGGGGGTCACTGACCTCATTACTGGAGGAGCTTCACTAGTAGGCCCCACTTTCAGCTCTGTTGACTTCTTCTTCTTCTCTTCTGGAGTCTTCTGATCCTGGACGAGAGGAGGCAAGATAGTTTTGTTGATGGAAAGTTTTGAAGTCTCGGCGTCTTTCCTCTTTGTAGAGGCAAATTTGCTTGGATAGTCTTTCCCGTATTTGATCTTCCATGCCAGCCGGGTGTACGCTTCCTTCTCAATCAGTTCCCTGTAACAGTTTTGATTTTGAGTTGTCAGCAAGTCCCTCATTCTGCAGGCCTTGTTCTCCAGCAGGCGGTGTTTCAGAGTGCTGGTGTATGAGCCGAGAGAGGAAAGCCTATCTTCATCAGGAGGCTACTGCCATAGAGACAGCGCAGCAACAGAAACCCAAGAACAGTTCCTGTTTGTGCTTTCTCCATGGTTACCCAAAGGCCTGAGCATGCCTCTCTCCAAGTCAGAGAAGCTTTACAAAGTCACACGGCCCTGATAGGCAGAAGAAAAACAAAAGGCCTTTAGAGTAACTGCACTTCCCAAGAACCTGGCTTGGAGTACAATTAAATGCCTTTACGTCTTTCAAAAGGACCTTGACCCTCCATGAATCTTCTAGTAACATTTCAGCAGCTTGGGATAAGACCAGAAAAACTAAGAGTGAGGTGGTTACAGTAGAGATAAAATAGACAAAGCACACAACATGCAAATTATGAAAAATATTTCAAATGTTCACAACAATAGCTTTATAATTGAGTGTAAAATCAAGGGGTTATTTTAATGTAATAGTTATTTTCTTTCCACGTCACTTCAATGACTTATTTTGTATTTTTCTGAACTAGTTATATATTCAGTCCAACCAGAAGATGTCACTCTTTCTATTTGTTCTTTTAATTTTTTATCACTTTAGTGTATATTAAGACCATATATTATAGTATCACAGGTAAACAAAAACTGAAACCTTTAACTTTTTTCCTTTCAAGATTGTATGGAGATATTCAGTTTTTTTAATGAGAAATGTTATGAACTGATTGACATGCAAACTATTTTTAATAAAGTCTAAAAGAGATGCAGAAAAAAGGAAACAGATACCAAATCTCCTGAGTTAAGTGTCAAATAGGGAAAGACAAACCAGTATCACTAGTGAAGAATCAGACAATGTGAAAGTTCAGAAAGATATAAAGATCAAAGCCAGCCTGCCTGTCAGACAGCCATAACACAAAATCATCAGTAGCAATTTCTTTTTTTTTTTTGTTTATTGTTTCAATTACCAAATGTACATCAATTCTAAGCATTTTCTTTCTTTTAACATTAAGGCACACAGGCTAATACAAAATGCAAAAAACAGCTCTGCTTTCTGTTTTATTTAGTTCAAACATTCACCGTTTACAAAATAATTTTATAAGACAACAAATCTGTATCAAAACTAGCCTCATTCAGCAATAATATCATTTGAGTGTCTTAACATACCAGTAGAAGTTATACATATATACGTCCAAGGCTTTTGGTTAAACCTTTATTTTTCTAAATGATTTGGATGAGAATTGTCCCCATACCCACAAGATATGAATCTGTAAGGAATGTGGCGTGCTTTGGGAAAATGTAGTGTAAAGCTGAGTGTTCAGATATTCTTAATAACAAGACGTACAGAAGATGATAAAAATTGGTCAAAATTCTTTGTGGTGACTGACAAAAACTCAATCTTTATCCTTACTTTTCTTGAAGGTTTCAAAGGTCTTTATGCATTTATGTGCTGCAATGAAATAAAACAGCCGAAAGGAACCTTTTTACAGCACGTTCAAATATCAGGAAACAAAAAATGCCACAATTTTACAGCCACCTATCTCTACCAGTGGTGTACTTTCCAGCTCCCTCGATTTTTAAAACCCATTTTCAAAAGTGATCAAAATACCGATAATGTACAGAGGGACACATCTCAAAAGATCAGACAATCAGACTTACAGCACCACCACTCAAAGCGACAAAGATAAAGGCTGAGAAGAATATGGAGTAGTGTATGACATGAGATGTACTTGTACATGTCTCTACAGTGCTACCAAGATCAGAGCAAAGTGATTGCAGAATTTCACACAACACACAAACCAAAGGGGACAGAGTTCAAGTCATCTTATTGGCATTTGGAAAATGTATCATTGTAAGCCTAGCTGACAAAAGCTGACATTTTTTTCTGTAGTACAAACCTGAGGCAAATCCCATGAGGAGTAACCAAACCACATTAAAATTAGACTTTGCAAAGAGGAAAATAGAAAAATAGAGTAGACCTTCAGAGTCAGTGTCACCTTCCAGCTCCTGTGTTTTGTCTGCACTAGAAACATGCTTATGGTAGAGAAAAACACTTTATTTTATGAAGACGTGCTGCTTAATCTTTAATCATGTATCTACCATACACTTCGGTGCAGATACAGACTCATCTCTGGCTTTTTCTGATGATGTGTCTGTGTGCATTCTCAATCTTGAAACTTAGGAATGTAAGCTTCATCTAACACAGAATCAATTAACATGAAGAATTAGAGCTAAGATCTATTTTTTGTGCTTTTACTAGAGCACAAAGCAGGCATTCTTAAATACTTTATCACAATTAAAACATGTAAACTTTACAGTCCAGTTCTTATATTGATTAAAATATCAGACAGCAGGAGGTTATACAAATCGTATCACAATTCTGTTAAGACTCATGCATGGACGACTGATCTGTAAACCTACAAACAATAAAAGGCAAGGGGATATTCATCAGTAGTAACAGAATTTTAAAAAGCAAACTTTCCAGTTACATTGATGTTAGTAGTGATTAATAGAGTGTTATTTCTAAAAAAATAACTATTGTGTTTTTAAGTGGCATTTCTTTTCAGAAGAGGGTTGTGGCCTAGACAAAATAATCTGTTTTTGGAAAATGAACATTTTCACTTGCCAAAGCAGGAGAAAGGGGTCTACAATTTAAGCCGATTTATTTTTGTTCAGACCGATTTCATCAAACGCAAAGTTTCCAGCTGTTTGATTTGGGCCTCATGGAGCTCAGATGGGTTTTCTATTCATGTATCACAGCCCCACTCCCAGTCTTTTCTGTAAAAAGGGTGTCTGCGGCAATTATGGGACAGTGATGTGAAAGGGAGACCCTGGAATGTGCTCGTCACCCCATTTGACAGCCAGGATGTAGTCGCCCCTCTCCTTGACGATGTAGTTGACAGTGTAGTGCTGGTTTCCCAGGTGCTTGATCGACACCTCCTCACACGGTGTGGTGGGCCCGTGCACCCCAACCAGAAGCATGTTTTTACCTGAAAAACAGTAGTCTTCATGACCCTCTGCAGAACTTAAGGGCATTTAAATGAGTACAGGCGAGTAAGCAGCAAAAAAATATTTTTCTACCCCCAGAGCTGGAGAAGGCATTCTCAGACTGGCATTATGGCATTATGAACACACCTCAGCCATTCTGTGCTGGATAAACTCCTTCTAATGGTCAACATTTGGCATTATGAGCTGTGTATGTTTGAACTCCTATTATTTCTTCCTTGGAAGAAAAAAATACTGAAAGCTGTATTAGCAGCTGAAGTGCTGAAATCACGAAACACTGGAGGAATATAATCTGAGATGTTTTTTTTCCAGAATGTTATCATAGAACACATATGTCTGATTCCCACAAATCTGTGATTGAAAAGCTAGGTAGGAGCAGCAGACCTCATAGCAGAGGTAAGATACTGTACATTGACGGGTATTACTCCTGGCTGTCTGGCCGTGAGATGTCCTTACCAGCCTTACTGCAGTCCACAGAGAAGCTGCTTTTCTGGCCCACGTAAGCTCTGTTCAGGCCTGCACCTTTGCTGACCACTTTGGCGGCATCAGAGGAGAACTTGGGGATTGCACTGTAGGCGTTGGTGGAGGCCGTCTTCGTCACTGGCTCCACCATCAATGTGGAAGTCTCACAGGCATTGCTCGCCGTCACCAGTCGAGGCCCTGAGGCAGAACACAGAGCATTTCACACGTGTACAAAAAAGCTCACCTTGAGAAGCCTTGAAGTCGCCTCTACTTTCATCGTGTTTCTAATCTCACTCTCACACACCACGTATTGGCAGTTTCATGACAATCCCTTGGCATTTTACAAATTAATGCATCTAAGTGGTTCAGACATATCCTCTAATTTTACGCTGACAATTTTTGTTTTTTTAATCCTTTGCTGCCCTAGTGGTATAATAAAGTTCCATAGACAATGCATGTCAGAAGTAGCCTCAGAGCTCACCGGTTACTTTTGCCTTAAAGGGGCTTCCCACTATGTGATTGGGTCCACCATACTTGATGCCAATCAGGTAATTGCCTGGAGCCATGGGCGTGTACTGGACTTTGTAGCCTTCAGGACACTCCTGGCACTCCATCTTCACCTTGGAAGGGCCCTCTATGGTGGCAGAAAGGGATCCAGGCAAAGCTTTGGTGGTGTTGATGGTGAACTCCGCCTGTGTACCTGCAACCCCATCCAGAATAAATGAAGGTTACCAACAGCACGGCACTGGGTCTTCCAATTCTACTCAGTCTTAAATATACTGTATGTGCTCTTGGGTTCCAGAAGACAAAAGTGGAAATAACAAAGTGCACTGACGATTGAGAATAAAGAGCCACAGGGGTTTACAGGGGTTGAGAATGTGGGAGTCTAGCCCAAACTACTCAGCTGCTCAACATGATGTCAAAGCCCATGCGCCCTGGTGCCCTTCAAGTAACTCTTGTGAGATTTTTTAATTGATCAGCTCCTGAGCAGTCAAATAAGCTAGATGGGCCCATTGGTTCCCTCTTGTTCGTAACCATTCTTAGGTTCTTCCGTCACAGGAGCTCCATCAATGATCACTGCAAGCGTGCAGCTGCTAGGAAGGACGAATTAACTTTGGGGCCTCCATGTCATAACATACAATTATTCTTGGCAAGCCATTATATTGCAAAGAATTTATCTTCCCTCCACTGTTTTAAGTAGGAATGGCACCAATATGCTTGAATAAGATGAAGAAACAATTCTACTAATACGGAACACTTAGAGAGGTTAATTTGTGAAGATCAAAAGTAAAAGATAGAGTCACATCATACATATGCACACATACAGCACTGAGAGAACTATTCCTGTCAGATTTGTGTGTGTCGAGTTCCAGTATCCTGAAACAGAGATATTCATCAGTTATTTGTGTCCACAATGGGTGCCAAGTAGGCCTCAGATTGTGGACACACTGCTGCAGTGTGATTATTTTTATGAGGGCCTCTGTTCCCGTTGAAGCAGGAGGGCGAGTCACACTCATCTTTCTTTTGAATCTGCAGCTCGGCTACTGCCTGTTCTCTTCAAGATAAACAGGAGAAAGCCTTCTTGACAAAACAAATGGAACCCCCTGAGTGGCAATCATGTAATCAGTTCTACAAGCTGTGCTTGGTCATTGTATTCCATTTCTGAGTCTGGCCTAAAAAACACCCCACTGATTTACGCTCCCATACGACATTAGTCATGTTGCTTTATCTTCTGACATTCTGCTTTTGCATTTCAACAAATCCATCACTTATGTTTTTTGTGCTCTGGTTGACATGAAGCTCTCTTGTTCCCCTTCTTTCAAGGTCTTGACTCACATTGGCAGTTCTTCTAAGTCAAGTTCACCCACAGCTGCTGCCTTCGAACATGAACATACTGTAAGGTTATATCGACTATTCCCTCGTTATATACTATAATTGTGGGCTTGGTTCAAAGTGAGCTTCCAAAAGGAGAGAAAATGGGAACCTGACATTGCTCTGAAAGAGGCCTGACGCCAACAAAAACACCTCCTCCATCTACCGAATACGAAATGGGAATTCTCTCAAAGAACACAAGTTCTTGGCAGAACTGTCTCTGAATATTTGCCCGAGTAAGGAACAGTGCACAACAGGTTGCGTGTGGAACTGCGCTATAATGATGTGCCCCAGGCTTCAACTGTGACAGATGAAAGATTGATTACAAACATTCCCGTTCTGCTCTATATCGTTTTTCAGTAACTCAAGAGCTACAAAAAAAGCTTAGAATGCAGTCTGATAGCATTCAAGTATGACGCCACAAATGGTTTTTAAAAACCTGAAGCAGAGCGCATTTTCGATTACAATTTATAGGCATTAAGTGTAACAACCATCCATCCATTTTCTAACCACTTCATCCAGGGTTGCAAGGGAGCTGGAGCCTGTCCTGGCAAGCAATGAGTGTTAAGGCAGGAAACACTCTGGATGGGACACCAGTCCACAAAAGGGCACGCACAGAAAAGCACACACTCACACCAGGGCCAATTTGCCCAGAAGGCAATTAACCTACCAGAATGTGTTTGGACTGTGGGAGGAAACCAAAGCTTAAGTGCAACAGTTTTGTTTATTATATTCTTATTGATTCCAGAATTGCACCAGCGTTTTTAAGACCCATTCCTCCAGCAAGAGCTCCTGTATTGCTCATGAGAGAATGGATGTCCTCCTGCCTACCTGCCCATGAGCTCAGCAGTTTCTAAAGGCCTGGAACCTTTTCATTGTGATCAATTGCACAGGTGATTGTTAAATTAAGTCATTTGGAGATCCTTTAGGATCAAAGTCTTAGTGCTCCTCAGCCTTTAAGGATCATGTTTCACCTAACTGACTCAAGGACTTGGTCAATTCACCACCACTTTGGAACCGGCTGGATTGGGGCCCAGTGATCTGGACATGGTGCTATTTGGAATGGTGAGCAGGAGCCTGAGGAACTGGGGTTAGACACTGGGGTTCCGTGGGGCCATACCTGTGGTTCCCCTCTCCAGTCCAGCCCCATATGCAGTGATGAGCCCCGCATCTCCTGTCTGCCCTGGCTCCCCGACCCGGACCTGGAAGGGGCTGCCAGGAATGTGGCTCCCGTTGAACTTCACATCAATGGAATGGATTCCGTTCTCCCGAGGGATGAACCGAATGGCATATTTGTCTGAGGAGAAGAGGAGAAGGAGCATGCTTCAGGTCAGGGAACTCTCACTGAAGAGCACAGGCCTGTTCTCACTACAGGCCGCATGACTGAAGGGGTCAAGGTAACTACTCGGGGTCAATGTTTGGGACATTTGGAGCGTCAGGAAAGCAACAAAAAAAGAGCAACTCTCAAGAGCAACACCCTCCAAAGACAAGCAAGAGATCATTCCCTTGAACATATTCCTTTTTTTATCATTTTGCTTTTGTTGTCGCACATATTACCCAATTTTGACTTGCCAATTGTTTGTTTGTACCTCTCGGCTCATGGCAGCGAGTCTCGTTCTGCACAGGGACAGCAAGGATGGCAGACAAGTGCCTCAGAGCCGCCGATCCATGACTTGTGCCGAGCCAATCAACTTGTGACTAAATGCAAGCTGCACAACACTCTGCAGGAGCTTTATCCCCAGCAGGAGGAATGTCACTGTCACAGAAGCACCTGGGTGGTTGCAGGAGTCAATGTTTGGCTGAGTACCCTGGCTGACTACACTCTCCATCCCTGGTAGCACTTGAGGAATCCTGGTCACACAACATATCCCTTGAGTTTGTTTGCAAATATTTTACATGCCATATTTAGTTTTGGGACCAAATTCCTACTTTTCTTCATTTTGTTTTTCTTTTTAATATGAGAAATTCCAATTCAAATAGTTTCTCACCTCTCCACTCTACCCAAGGAGCACTGACAAATTATAAATGTATTATTGCTACTGGGCAGTTAATACATTTTGACATTTTCTTTTGACCTGCAGTACAAGAACGCTTTCTTGAAGCATAATGCAAAGGTTACTAAAGAGTAAAGCAAGCAAAGTTCTTTAGGCTGTGGATGTAATATAATACATCTGTAGACTTCAGACAAGTACAGTAGCTCAATGGTCTAAAGAAATAACAAAGGTATTGAGTAATTTCAATTTTTTTTATGAGAATGGTATAAAGAGCAAAAATGGTATAAATGATTACGTATATGGTGTTGATGGTCTGGTTCACCAGCCTCCAAGACTTGATCAATGTTTAATTAAATAAAAATGAAACTGATGTAATATAGTAATATACAAAATAATATACAAGTAATACACAATCGCCAACCAGGTTGCAGTATGAAAAAAAAAAATGTTTGCTGTCAAAACGTTTTGGAAATGGAGCAAGGCGCGAATTATTGCAAAGAAGTTGCTAATGGGATCCGCGGCCGGCTCTTGCTCAGCGGGGAGGGCTTACCTGGTTCCAGCTCGGACACCACACACTCCTCCAGGGCTCCCGAGGGGCTGTGAACTTTGGCGTCAATGTTGCCCTGGGCCCCGTTCAGCCTGACGGCGAAGGAGGCTGGTTGATTAACTTTGAGGCCTGACTCCTGAAGACAGTGAACAGCAATGCTTGTCAAGTGTGTCCCACCCCTCCTTTTGGTTTCTGAACAAGGACCCAAACTGGACCGTGGTCAGTCAACTTCACATCATTGACATGTGAACACGATTCATTCCTCTTTCAGAACGCCTTTTCCCTAAATCTAAAGGCAACAGGTTGGACCCGGTGGCTAATAAGCCTTTTCTATTTCCATTTCCGTTAGGAAGGCCTGCAAGGTAATGCCAGGTATTTATGAATACAATATCAAAATCTCAAAGACTTAGGACATCTTATACATTTGTGAAACAAATTGCCAAAACAGAGAGCCATGCATATCTCATGCTACCAAAGCTCACCTTCCACCAGCTAAAACCTAAAGAGGGAGAGCTGCCTCACTTCACACTAGTCTATGGGACAGCTGTCTAGGAACAAAGAGAGTAAACCAGATGACAGGGGTTCTGCTTGGAACAGGAAAGAGGAAGGAAATCGGGGTGGGAATTGGTGAGTGTGCAGTCTCCCTCTTTCTGCTTTAACCAGCTAATGGTCAGGAAAGATCGTCGTTCCTGTTAAAAGCCTTTAAATGAAACATAAGAGAAACATCTTTAGTCCCACACGAGCAGCTGAATGCCCCTCAGCTATCCAAAAGTCAGGTCCACTCCTTTACTTGCGACAGCTTGGACTGAGAACACACTCTTGAGTGAGCTTGATCTGTTATTTCTTTGTCTTTTAATTTGAAATAGTCAGACCCATGCAAATGTCTGACAGGTGTTAATGTTGCAAAATTATTTAGTATATAAAATCAGTTTGCCTTATTACAATAACATCCTTATCTGGTTTGATTTATCATGTCCACTTAAAAAGTGCAAAGTGTGCTGATGCACAATGGGCAGTTTTATTACTCTTGCCAGCAACACCAGTGGACCCCAAGAGACTTCTGTATGTGTGGCTGGGGTTGGCAAATCCAGTCCCTAAGTGCAGTGTTCCTGTATGTTTTGGAAGCACGTTTCAATTAGCACCTGATAACCTGATTCTTTTCCACCCCATTAGTTCAGCTAAGTCATTTACATCGAAGATGTAATGAAAACCAGAAGTGAAAAGTAATAAACACCTTCTTGTAGCATTACAATCGAGGTGGAACAAATAAAGGCCTTAAAACCATTATACATTTCAAGAGCAACCAGCTGAAACTCAAGCCAATTAAATAGCAGGCTATGCAGGAACATTAAGAATGGAATTATTCCTGCTTATGAATCTTAATGACCTGAAATGAAAGCCTAACCATCTACTTTCTGTTTTCCTGAGAGACAGTTTTTTTTAAACTTAAATCCTTGAGAAAAGGCTGAGTGTTACTGCCATATTAGTGAGCCCTGAGCTTTCCTAACCCAGGGTCAAGCTTCTCCCAGCCAGGAGTCCCTCCGTTTTGGGTAGCTGAGGACACACCGAGTGCAGAGATGTTTCTTTATGCCTCACCTGAAGGCTGGCAACAGTGAGTCTGCGGGCGTCATCGGTGGGCGCTGTCACTGGCACCAGGAAGGGGCTGTCTGGGATGTGCTCATCGTTGAACTTCACAGAGACCTCATAGTCACCTGGGAGGAAAATTAACTCCATCAGAAAGTTGTTGAAAACCCCCCAAAGGTAATGGGCTGCTAAAAATAAGTGTCATAACTCAGAGGAAGATACCATCCATCCATCTGTTTTTTAACCTGTTCATCTAAGTTGGGGTCGCAGGACAGCCGCAGCCTATCCATGGCAAACAATGGGCATAAGGCAGGATACACCCTGGACAGGATGCCAGTCCATCACAGGGCACATAAAGTCACAAATGCACACACACTCACACCAGGGCCAAGTCTTGTAGAAGCCTATTAAGCTACCAGTGTCTTTGGACTATGGGAGGAAACTGGTTCACCCAGCAAAAACCCACATGAATGCTGGGAGAACATACAAACTCCAAGTAGACAACACCCCAGGAACTGAGCCCATGCTAAAGTATTACATAAAATTAAATAAGAATATTGAATATATAAATCTTTATGTATAAAAAGAAGTTTAAATTTTAATGTGTGTGTGTGGGGGGGGTTGTGTTGTATTTGGGCCATTGCAGGAAAACCCACACAGGGTAAAGTCACTTGGTTTACTTGTGGCCCTCTGGAGGATGTGAGAGGCTGTTTGACATCGGGGCATTCTGTGTGTCTGCAGCCCGTGATGCTGCGGGACAGCAATGCTAAACACTGTGCCACCCAGCAAGACACAATTTTTCATTTAATACAGCCAAATGAATCGAATGGCCTTGTACTTTCAAAGTGCAAATTTGTACTTTAAATGAAAATAAAACCACCTGCACTACGGTTCTGAACATGCAGTTTTCTGTGATTAAATGTGGCAGAGGAGAAGTCTGTGAAAAAGACCGTTATCAATAAGACATCTGAGGAAATAAACAGCAGGGACGTAGTCCACCCTCGTCCATGGCACGACCCAAGCCTACCAGGCTCCTGAGCGATGTAGGACACTCCGCAGGAGCCATCCTTCCTGTCCTCAAAGGCGATCTCAGCACGGCTCGGCCCTTCCACGGCGATGGACAGACCCCCTGCCCCCGCCTCCCGCGTCCAGATGTTGAACTCCGCTGGAACACACACGCAGATCACTCCCGCACATGCATCCCCATATTGTTTCTTGTATTGATACCAGCATTTTATATAGCCATCCCTGCACGTCGTACACATGCCTAACCGCTTGGAATTGTGCATCTTCTGCTTGGTGTCTCATCACAAGTGTATTAAATACTGTACTCTTTAACATGACAGAAGCACCACACCCGTATTAGCTCAGCAGTGACTTTGTGTCTTTTAATACTTTTTAATTAGTGGCACAAAATTCACAGTACTGCCTGGAGAGAAGGGTGCAACTGGGCTTCAGACTGCTAGAGATTTATTTTCTCCCTTTGGGACTTCCTCCTCTCTACTACTAGTGGTCTACTACTCCTGTACATAAGACGTCCGTTCCTGTAAAATGCTCTGTAGCACGTTATTACAAAGGCAAATGAAAGACTGAACCATTGAAGGAAGAAGCTTCTTTACAATTGGTTTTGGAAAACACCGCTGTAAGATAAGGCCTAAATCAATTTACAGTGACTGACTGTGCTTTTATATAGAAGGTGAATATAAAGGTTATAATTTGAAGAAGAAACATGGTGTTGTGTTAAGGACAAAATAGCTTTCTCCGAGTTGCCTGAAATGAGCTTAGAAAGCTCTGTGCCAATTCGTTTGAAAGCGGTAATAGAAAAGGGGTAAGGCTTCCAAACTTTCCGAAATATTAGACCAAAGGCATGTCAGTTTTAGACTCTGGCGTACTTTGTTTACAAAAATGTTTGAGGAGAATTTGCATTTTTAAACAACTTTCTGTTATTATGTTATTGTGCCAGAAATTAATCATAAAAATGGAAAGCAGTCATTTTCAAAACACTTCCGCACTACAGCCCTCCATTTCCTCAAAGAAACCAAACAAATACATATGCAAACTAAGGATGAGACCCTGCAGAAATGGAGGAAAAAGGGATACTGGAGATCAAAAAGTTTCGCTTCAAAACAGTTCTTTGACAAAAGCAGGAATTTACTTGTGGGAAAAGTGAGCATGGATTTCAGTTTTAAAGGTCACCATGGTAATGAAATGTGCTGGCTGGGTTACCGGAACCTTACCTGGGGTGCCGGCCTCTGCCTTCTCCAGGCCCGGGCCTCCTGCTCGCACCTTGTGAGCCCCCCCTTCTCCCAGTGGCCCCACGGTAAACTGGAAGGGGCTGCCTGGCACGTGCTGCCCGCGGTACTTCACGCTGACGGTGTGCACGCCCATCTCGTGGGGCACGAACCGCACGCAGTAGGTGTTGTTGCCCACGGCCACGATCTCTGCGTCTTCCGTCGTCCCCGAGGGGCTGGTGACCTCGGCCGATACGTCGTGGATGTCAATCTCTGGCAGGGAAGAAAGAGGCGACGAGGTATAAAAGCCGGGACCACAGGGAAGTGGAGCTTGCAGAGCTGCTGTCCACAGACCAAGCAGGGCAGCCTCTCTTAGTACAGCAAGAAATCCAGACTGGCATGAGTCTGGGACTTGAGGGATGCCGAATCGTACGAGGGTACTGGCTGACTTGAGATCTCCCAAAACCAGCTCTGCAAAAATCATAACAAGAATAACAAGATCCAGGAACAGCTTTAATGAAAAAGCAAGTTTGCTGTGTTTTCATAACCACCCAATAACATTATTTGAGAATATCTAATGGTCAATTGCTAAATATATAACTTATATCATGAAATTATTATTCGAAGTTGCTAACATGCACAGGTGGCAGCGGCAAACACTTGTCTTAATCTTCGTCTTATTTTAATAATCTATTTAAAGTGAAACTGTCACCCTTACTTACTAAGTTTACATTGTAAAGAACGCCTAACCTTCACCTCAGCTCAGCCCAATCCATTTCCTGACTCCACTGGGTCTCTGCCTAGTCCTTAGGGAATCTCTGTGCCCTTCTGGTTTTCTTTCAGGCGAGGTGTTGTAAGAACAGGTTTTATTATTTGATGAATATCTTATTCATTTCAATTTTACATTTGGGAATTTGCCAATTGGTATCAACCCTGTGTCGTATCAGTTTCTGAGTTTCCAGACTTTACTCAACAATAAACCACTCGGTCTGCTCACCAAAGGAGGGCTCTCCTATTGCTCCCCTGCAGGGAGCAAAGTCCTATGAAATGGTTTAATAAAAAGATGATGCTAGACTGCAAAAGCTGTATAAACTGAAAATGTATATTAATCTTTTACATATTTTTCTGATACATTTCATAAGGACTTGAGTGCAGACACGAGTACGAAAAGCAAGCAAATCAAATAAATTCATAATGGTGATGAACAAGTGGAAAGAACACTTGTCAATACAGGAGTCCCCAAGGAAAAGGTTATGGGAACTATAACCTTTATCTCCAGTATTTGCTGTCTGGCAGATCTGGATGTGTATAAAGGGAATAAGACTATGTACTGTACAGTAGAAACATTGATGTCAGTTATGTTAGTACAAATTCATTTTGTACTCGTATTCTGGCTACATCAGGAGTGTCGCAGAAGAAAACAGTAAAATCTCAATTTTCACAAGTTCTGCATTCTTGATTTTGCCTATTTGCGTGAAACCATTAGTGACCACTTTATCTGCATTTACGCCTGTTCGCGAGCTACACAGTAGGAGTGAAAATAAGAGCTCCCACTTATTCATATGCATACATAATCACCTCCTGGAACTACTTGGCTACACAGCTTGATTAACAGAGTTAGCATGTTTATTACAGAAGTGCATTGTGGGTTATGCTTTAGTTAGTTTCCCTCAGGAAAGCGCTAGATGTACATTGAGTGCAGACCTGTTACGCAAAATAAATGTTAAATAAAAACACCTTTGTGTTCCCCTAAGTTATCGCAGGCTCAGTTCTCATATGTCTCACAGAAAAGGATAAAAAAGAAATAAGAAACAGAATTACACAAATGGCAGTAGTTGAAGAGTAAGCTGGTTAAGTGGGAAGGGAGTGAGTATACTTAATTTACTTACCAGTCTGTTATTACTGTGCTGTAATAAAGTGCTGCATTTGTAACAGTAATAAAATGTCATAAAGAGTAAAGAAAATTAGCTGTACCAAGAATGAAGAACGTGAACTCTAATACAGGGTAAGCTGCATTTATCATAACAGTGATCCAATTTATTTGCAAGTGTAATAACTTGTATTATCTCACTAAAATACTTACTACCAATAATAATTATCACTGCTTCTAAAATAGCTAAAAGTTACGCAAAAAATATTACTGTGGAAATGCTCACTTCATGAGCCACGGAACCATACCCTGTTTTCCCCAGAAGGTATTAAGATCTACATTTGAGAAATTGTAATTCATGGAGACACAAATACAAAGGTTTTAACTGTATTATGATTATTTTCAGAGCACATTTGGACCATACCGTGCAACTAGAGTTTGTATAATGGCCATGTAAGGATTAGTGTTAGAATTACTGTTAACCTTCACTTATGGTTATAGGGTTATGGCTACATTTTAATGAGCTACACTAGGATAGTGGATTAGGCAGTGTGGACTTTAGTTTCCAGTTTGGGTGTGGCCTTGACCTGTTATCCAGGTTACTTTATGGTCTCAAAATGGCTACTGGCAAAACTTTAGACCATAAATACAGGGTGGGGAAACTCCACAAGAGTACTCATCCAGTCCAGCACAAAACAGAATTTAACTTCTAACTGGACATTTTTAAGGAAGTGTTATCCTAAAATTAGTTCAGTCTTTTACTTATCTATATCCCAAATAAATATGCTAGATGAGACGTATATTTCTTTAGATATGAAAATATAGCTCAAGCCTGTAAGTTATAATATCATTTTACAGTTTTTAATCAGTTGCTGTAAATAGCTTCTACCATACGGTTAAATGTCTTATTTGGTGGTAGGCCAAGAGATTAGAATATCTCTTTTTGAAGCTCACATCACCCCTAACTTTAAAATGCATCTGCCAAAATATCCACTTCATTTAATGGAAGTAGTTCGAGTTGGCTACTTTCCATTAATGTACAGATGCATGTAGCATGTCAGAGCGAGACTGATGAGTCACAACAGCAGGTAAGTACAAAGAAATCAGACACAATGAAGATTATTGTTCCTGGTTCCTAAGAAATATGAGGAAAGAGGACATCTTAAAAAGTAGATTTTCTACGGAGGTTGATATTCATGAATACACTACAGTATGTTATCACATTCCTTTCAGCATTTTGCAGGGAATTGTTTCAGTTAGGATGTTTTGACTGAGTACAAACAAACTTTTGCTACTGTATCTTAAGGAAAACTGCAATACAAGACTTTTAACTTTGGGTGTTATTGTATATTTTGTGGATAAAGATAAGCAAAGCCGATAAAATAAATCAAAGGAGAAGCAGACATGTAAATAGACCCCAGTGATGCATAACCGATAGGGAATGAAGGCCGTAAATGCCAGTTCTGGAACTGCCATTCCAGTGAACAGGCTAAAGCAACGCAAACTCTTGGGTAACACCAGGAGAGGCAGGAAACAGAAAAGGTACAGCACTGCAGTTCGCAGACAAACACAGCATGCTGGAATTATTTGAAAAGGAGCGCATTCTGCCAACCTCATTGTCCACATGCCCAGCGCTTAAAACGCACCCTCCGGCCCCGAGGGCCTTGCCAGGGGGGCAGCGCCAATCCGCGTGCTGACTGTTCCTCCCGTAAACCAGACAGAGCCCCCCCTTGTAGGCCCCACGCGCCCACCACACCACAGAGAGCACCTGGCTTGATAGAGGCCCCCAGACAGGCCCTCCCGAGACAAGGCCAGGAGGAACCAGGTCACTAAGGAGAGAGGGAACAGGAAAAGACAGACACAGGGACAGAGAAAAGCAAGGACGTACTGTAAGAAGGAAAGGAGAGAAGTCAGAGACTCAGTACATCATCCTTTACCACACTTTATTTTTCATTAAGGAACTGGTACAAGGGGTTACCGAAGAAACCATTCCTCACTTCTTCAGAGGCCACGTCAAAGACTTGAGAAATTTCCCAAAACATCCTACTGTAAACGCATTGAATTGCTAGCAGATAATAAAAATGGTTTGACGGAGCTTTTCAAAACCTTGAAAATCAAGGGGGTTGACTAAGTTAATATGAGCCTCTCTCTCTTTGTAACCTAGATTACAAACATAAGCTGAGCTTTCATCAGGCCAGTAAATCTGTCCTACATGCAAGATCCATTGGTATTCTTCTTAACTCAGCACTGTTTCAGCCTGTTTTTAACTATTGTCATATATTCACATGCATTTCCTGAATAGGCTTTGCTTTAAAACTAATATTTTAGCAAGAAATACTGGGAGTTACCAACCTACTTGCTGCATCTTAAAGAACTAACCTATTGAATTTAAGAGAAGGTAGTGCTTTCATTGAACTAATGAAAATACAAAATACAGCTGGAAACCTGGTTTTCTTATCTATTTACTTATATTGTCTGATACAAAATTGCTGCTGGAATGATGGAGTGATGGGCTGCTACCAAAATTTAGGCATAAAGCTTGTGATATGACAGGGGGCTTACCATTTAGGTGGCCATGGCTGTGCCTAGGCATTAGTGTCCAGCCTACATGTTTTAACAACCACGTAGGTGTCTTTTGTGGTGCCTGAGCAACATGAATTTAAATACATCCCAATGAGTTGAAAGAGGTAATACATTTAGAATATACAGCATTGAAAACAGAGAGAAAATCATTTCGGGAAATCACCCATGATGTAAAATTCCTTAGCAGCAAGTTTTTAATTCAAACCCTCTTTGTCAGACCCCTCAGGATGAGAACTTTTGGTGGGGGAATGGAGGGGGGGAGGATCTGGGGTCTGGGGACCCCTAGGGCGTGTCCAGACTGTGCTGAACACACCACAGACATTGACAAAGCACTGACAGGATGGCAAAGAAACAGCTGTGCAATACTGCGGTAGTCATCAGGGAAATTACAGCACGGACAAGGTTAAATCTTTCTGCCCCCTCAAAATTTTTGATGGATTTCGTACCGTTTACATTTGCTTTCTGGCCCATCTGGTTCTACTTATCAATGAGGCAAAAACTGTTCTCAAAGTCACACCTTGGCAAGCTCCCTTAAAGACCTGAGCAGCAAAGGGTATATACTTAGCTGGATAAACTGTTCACTACAAATCTCAAATTGCTTTCTCAGATGTATTCATTTTAATTATTCAATATTGGAGGATGGTGCGTAGCTAGCATTTTAAATTTAAATTTAGCATTTGGGGAAAAAATTAAGAGACTTATGGAATTAAATAAATCACACACAAAGTTATGAATCGTGTTCACCTCAAATCACATCTAGGAACCCTCTCAGATTAAAGATGTACAGTATACTTTTTTGTTGCCAGTGTGACTCAATTTTAAGAAAGTTAACCACAAGTAGCTTACAGTGTGTCTCACTGAAAGGTTAAGAAAGGTTACAAATAAGAGGATCGGAGAAGCACAGAATGTTCAGAATGGTGGTGAAAGAGAAAATGGTGAAACTACTTGCCCCCTGTTGGATCTTGAAAGGGCATTTGATGGACAGATTTGTCTGACAGCCACACAAGAAGTGAGTTGGGGACTGTCAGTCATATCACAAGCAACAGAACAATTTAACATGGGAAGCCTTACAATACGATTACAATAAGAGATGTTGGAGTAGTAAAACAAAAGCTATAAATAGCAAAACACATACAGTACCAGAGACAACCACGGGTAGAAACTATATGAAAGGGCATCTAAAACCGAGAAAAGGAGACAGTTCCTTAGAAGAGGTGTGGGTCTAGAGTCCAGAACGAGATTCCTAGACATGGCGTCAAAGTCAGTGCCCCAGTTTCCTTCGAGAAACAACCAGATGACAATTAGCTACTAACTACTGAATTGCTGCTTCTTCTGTGTGCAACCTTTCTTACATTCGGTACTTGTATTGCCTTCGTGGTAATGTAGCAAACCAAGGAGATCTGTTAAATGCTGCACCATAATCTACCAAAGCCGTGCAGAGGCTGTAGAGCTGAGGGTATTGGCGTGGTTCGATTTTGGATACCAACACTTCTGTTCTTAGCTCAGCACAGTACAGAAATGTTACCTGGGACAGGACCGTATTCGACATGAAACAAGAACTGGAATCTACTACTGTGGTCATCTTATGAGGCACAAGTCTGAAGTACTGCTTTGACAACCCAGATGGATTTTCAGGACAAATAATTCACAAGCACAACTGTAAAACATTCCCGAGAGCAAAGGGCACGTCAACCTACAGTACCTGGGATCTTCAGGTTGAGGTCGCAGACGCTTCCCACCGTGGCGACGGAAGCTGCCCGTTGCCTGCGTGTGATGCTCTCTCGAACACGGCCCTCTCCAGCCACCTTCACAGTGAACGGGCTCCCTGGTGAGACAAGACTGGCCATGTCACACCTCCACGTGTAGACAAGGGCAACCACAGCCTCCATACCATCGCGTCCTACTACTAACATGCTGGGACACGGTTTCACACTGACTTTGTGTTATCCATGACAACGCATCCATATCATTCTGAAATCCAAGCGAGAATGTTAAAAGGCAACTTAATATTACCAATAATATCTCTACACTTAGTGTTTTTCTGGACACTCAACTAAAACGGCTTTATGGGTAATGGGGACTCTCCTGCACCACCAATGTGTAGCCCCCACCTGGATGATGCAACAGCAGCCATAGTGTGCCGGTACGCTCACCACATATCAGATACCAGTGAGGAGGAGAACAGAGTGATGAAGCCAATTCATAGATGGGGATTATTAGGAGACCATGATTGGTAAAGCCCAGGGAGAAAACGAGTCAAGACATAGGTTTTACATCTCATCCGAAGGACGGCGCTTTTTTTTACAATATAGTACCCCATCACTATAGTGGGTATTAGGATCTGATTAGGACCTAAGAACAATTTAACATTACTCATTCTCAAAATGTGTAGGTAGATACTGGATAAGTAGATACTGCATTAGTATGTCTGTGAGTGCTGGAAGCAATCTTTATCTCTAGCATAGCATATGTGGAATTGCACAATCTGTTCTATGTGCAACTTTAAAGTGGATTGTCAGGTGTAGTAGGATTTTAGAGGGATGAAAAGCACAGTCTCAGACGGCATCTCATTCAGGAATATCATCCATTTTATGTAACTAACATACAACAGTAACGTGGTGGGGACTGATTTTAGGTGACAGAGGACAGATCCTGAAGCATTCACAGGTTGTCAACTTCAAAGAGGTCACAAAGAGTACAAAAACATTTTCTGTAGACTAGGATGGTCTATATCCTGATCTACAAAGAGAGACAAGAACCTGCCTGTAAGAAGAAACTGCTTCAAAGGGGTGAAAACCCATATAAATTTGAGGAAACCACCAAAACAACATTAGAGTTTTCTCTAAATGTCAAGTTAACTTGCCATGATTGTCCAATAGTAATAGACAGAGCCTAAACTCTCAAAGCTTCAGAATACTATATGGCCCTAGGCTGAACCTTTGGCCTCTCATAATGATTTAGTTTGTATTTGCTGGGATTAAAATGGTAATAATGGAAAATAAAAATGTAAGAAGGTATATTTGTTGTCAAAATGGAAAGTCTACCATGTAGTTTTATCTTTAAAGAAGACAATTTAGTCACGTCTCTGTATCGTACCTGGGACATGCTCATCTGCAAATTTAATGGATACTATGTAGATTCCAGGCTCTGTGGGACAGTAGGCCACACCACATGTTCCATCTTCTAAGTCTTCAGTCTGAATATCCACCTTGCTGGGACCTTCAATGGACAAAGCCAGTCCCCCATAACCTGTAGACAGGAAAAAATGACCAAAGACAGAAAAAAGTTCAGTAACAAATTCTAACGGGCTTTTGGGGAGATCCAACAGGTGAAATGAACAGCTCACATAGGCCAGGGGTTGGCAGTAGCTAATCCATAGTAATTGATGTGACCTCCAGCCATAACCCTTACTGATTGAAACTAACTTGAACACTAAACCTTATTCTTCTGGGTTTAGATTATTTTGTTTAAATGTTTTTGACTGGAGGCCCTGTTTTGTGAAAAGTGGTTTTGTGAGGTTATAACTGAACATGGACTTTATATTAGAATGACTGTTCACTGAGTTGTAATTTGCATGAATAAACTCTTGGAATCCAAGCAAAGTCACTGCATGTATGATTTTGCACGGATGGGTAATATCATTAAAAATTAACAATCAATGTTAAAACAAGTCACCTATTCATACAGTAGATGGCCTTTAGGCTTTTCATATTGTCTTTGGAGCAGTATGCAGAGACATAGTTAATACTAAAGGCTGAAAATTATTGCAGAATCAATTAGCCATAATTAGTTGGTTAGTGCCAGCATGTCAAAACTAAGACATGCTGGCACTAACACACACCTTTATGAACAGCAGCAATGAAACACCCTGAACACTACCAGGAGAAAAGCTCTTAATCTACCTGTGCAAGAGAATATATCCGTTTTAAAATCTGATAACACTCGTTTCACAAAATTAAAATTATTCAAATCAAAACCAATTTAAATGTGTGCTTAAAGGTACCGCTTGTGGTATTTGTGATGTGATTGTTTGACACCGTTCACTTGCGGTAAAGTAAAAGTCATTTCAATCACAGGGATATGTAGGAAACTTTGTTATTTTGTGTCACATGATAAAGGCATTTATTAGGCCATCCTGGAGGAAGAAGCCACTATAATAATTAGTTCTGATATTTGACAAGCTATTACAGCATCATGGAACAGCAAAGCTGACCTGCATCCCTGGTGTCTACGATGAAGTCAGACATCTCAAAGGTATGTCCTTCCACCAGCCCTTGACCATAGGCCTTGACCTTGCTGGCATCTCCGATCTCTGACTGCACCACCATGATCGTGATGGGGCTATTGGCAACATGCCGGCCATTCTTTTTAATGCTCACAAGATGTTCCCCGACCTCTCTTGGGATGAAGGAAATACCTGCAGGGAAAAATCAAACCATATCAGGAAAAATGTTTTCTTCATGGTTCTACCATTTTTCCCTTTCAAGGAATGTGTATAAAACTAAGAGACCTCAGTGTTAAGTACTGCCAGGACAATAAACGCTTTTTACTCTAGCAGAAAATCATTTTTATGCTCTGAAATAAATCTAGCTAAGAACAGATTTAACTTTAACTGTTTGATTTTCTTTACATCTGTGTAGCCTTGAGATGGTTTTATACATTTAAATATACTTTAAAAAGGGCAACAACCCTATCAAGATTTTATACACCTTGTACAATACTTCTATATTGATACCCCTTTGCAGGTCTAACAAAAGAACATTTGTAAGCCACAGTCAACAGCATTGTTTCTTGTTCTGCACACTGAATTCCCAGCCAGCGCTGGCTAACTGATGGTGCCCCCGCTATCTCACCAATGTGGTTGTTGGGCTGTCTCTTGAGCAGGCAGGGCTCATCTCGTCCAGATGGCGCCTTGATGCTAGCTGTGAGCAGGCTGAGGTCGGTCTCATTGATGTCCAGGGAGAAGTCAGCGGCCGAGCCCAGCTTGACCTGTGACCTTCTCCTGTTGTCCTCTAAGAAGAAGAAAAAACAAAGGGCTGGCTTAAAGAGCCTTCCATCCCAACAATAACTTCCATTGATCTAGAGGAGGTGCTCACAGAGAAGGATCTCTCAGAAGCACATTTCTTTGATCCATTCTTTAAGCCCTAAAATGGAAGTGCAACCTATTCTTGAGTGGAAACAAACCAACAACTTTGAGGCAGTATTTCACCCGTCTATTAGGTTTCGCAGGGTACGTGTTAATTTCCGCAGATAGAACCTAAGAAAAAACTCTGTGTCCTCTGAAAGGCAGTACTTCTTTTGTGACTAAGAAGGGGGACTGATTCACACCTCTCATCTCATTTTGTAACCGCTTACTCGTGATGAGTGTTGCGGTGGTAACAGTCTGAGCCGAGCGGACCAGACTTCACTTTCTTCGGTTTCACCTGGGGGACTCCCAGGTGTTCCCACTGAGAGACATAACCCCTCTAGTGTGTCCCGGGATCCCTTCCCAGTACAACTCCAGTGGAAGGCACTCTGGAGGAATCCTCACCAGATGTCTTCCAATTTTAGTGTACGTACTGCCGAAGCAAGATCATCCTCAGCAGTTGCATGAGCCACCTCAGCTGATGTCTCTCAATCCGGAGGAGCAGTGACTCTAATCCAAGGTTCCCCCTGATCTCTGAGCTCCTCACCCCATCATGGAGAGCAAGCTCAGCAGCTTTATAGAGAGACCTGATTTCCACCACTTGTACCCCTAACTTTTCAATTCAAATTAAACAAATTACACTTACTAATCAGCAACGCTTTCTTCCCAACTTAATCCTCACAGACATCCATAACATGTCCCCACTTAGCCCTGAGCTGTTTAATTCTCAAGGCTCTAAATGCATGAAGGGACAGAGATGAGATAGGACAGCTATTTACAAAGGACGCTGTCGCCTGATCTCAGAGTGCTTACCAGTAATTTTGGCAGTGAACGGGCTCCCAGCGATATGCTTGTCATTGTAGCGAACCAGGATATTGTAATCTCCTGGCAGGGTAGGCAAGTAGGCAACAGAGCATGTGCCGTCTTTATTGTCAGTACAGCTGATCTCTGCTTTGGATGGGCCTTCAATGGCCAGGTCCAGACCACCTGTTACAACAACACATCACTCAGTCCAGTGCGTCCCCAAACACAAAAAGCACAGGGTTATGGACATTTTAATCTTCAAAAACTCAAACAGCTGAATGCAGCACATCTGCAAACTCCAGAAAAAAAAAAACATTAGGGGAGCATAAAGACTGGTAATAATCCTATTAAAAAAAAATAGCTTTTCCTTTAAAAGTGCTTAAGACAGCTTCAGTAAATCGCTGCAGGGCACAAGATCATTATGCAAGAAGGGCAACAAAGCATTCTGTAGGTAGTGCAAGGATAATATGTATGCTGTATTACATTTGCTAGTAGGATGATACTGAGTGACAATACTAAGTCCCTGGCAATATTACTAATGGAATAAATAAACTAATGCATGTTTTTTGTATTTCAGTCAAGTGCACATAGAAATGGTGATGAACTGCACTGTAGTTACTATAATATAAAAGCTAGCTTTCCCTTTTTTATTGTGCCTTGGAAAAGAGTACCACATTATTATTATACCCAGATACTATAAAAGCAGCACTTCTGGTAGTCTGTGATTCATGTGAGTGTGTGGTCTTTAAAGTTTCTCTCTCCATTGTCTGTGTCATCATGGCCGCCCACCTTCTGCGGCGTCCTCAGTGCAGATGGTAAAGGTGGCGGTCTTGTTGGCAATACCATACACCAGGCCCGGCCCATAGGCAGTGACATTGGGGCTGTTAGCATTGTTCACATAGAACTGCAGCGGACTCTCTGAAAGCACAGGAGCAATAAACACATGCCTTCAGAAACAAACAGATTGGCCAAGAATTTTGACCATTCACAACAGCACTTACAATTTACCATGTATAAAAAAGGGCATGATGAAAAACACCCCATATCATTGGTAGGGACACGTTCAGAACAAAAAATGATGAAAATGCAATTAAATTAGACTAAAAAACAGTTGGTAATTTTACTTATAATGCCATGTTTTTATACATAGTAGTTCCTTATACTTATCTATTAATATAGGTAATATACTGCACTAATATAGTGCTTGTCTGGAAACACCACTTCACCACTTAAAGCGCTTTACGGGTAATGGGGACTCCCCCCACCACCACCAATGTGTAGACCCCACCTAGATGATGTGACGGCAGCTAAAGTGCACCAGAATGCTCACCACACACCAATTATCAATGTGGAGGAGTTATGAAGCAAATACGTAGCTGGGGTTTATTAGGATGCCATGATTAGTAAAGGCCAGGGGTAAATATGGCCAGGACACCTGGGTAACTTCCCTACTTTTTTCAAGAAGCACCCTTGGATTTTTAATGACCATGCTGAATTTGTCATATTTTCTCTATGAATTAATTTTCTTTGTGAGTACACTTGGTATATTTTGCTCATATATCTAATCAAAGTCTATGCAAGTACTAAGGAATAGGCAAGCATGCAAATAGAAGTAGAAAAAATGCTTTAATCAGTTCTCACTTCTTAATCCACATTCACTCTTAACTTTACTTTGGCTGTCACAGGGTATCATTTTAATGCAAATACACACTTAACTTAAGTATCAGGACAACACTGTACACTGTATTTTATACGGTGATGTAGTAACAATATAGGTGGCAAATGAAACATTTATAAAATCTTTATAACTCCACTAAAAGCCATAGATGTTATCAATATGGTTCCCAGCGTGATCACTGTTGATCAGAATCTGATCATAACGCTTACCTCTTCCACAAAAAATTGTTTGATACTCTGTAGTTCCAAAACTCACAATAAAATTCTCAGTCATTTCGTCAGCCTAGATCTTGTCCAACCTTTCCAACCACATAAGAAGAATCCTGGTGATTAGGTTTTTCTAGACTTTGAGTCACAGTCCTCTGTCTGTTCCCTTAACAAAGACTCCCTTATCTATGAGGAAGGTAACGTATTATTACACCCTTCTGATCTGAGAGGTGGAAGGAAGGACAAAAAACACTCAATGGAACTTGGATCTGTGTTACAAAGGTCCAGTCATGTCTGGGCTATGATAACGTGAGAGAGAAACCTTAGCACCGACAAGTACTGTAAAGATCACAAACACCCCAACACTCCATTCAAAACCATCACAGTCTGTATTCCCCTAACCTTATGGCATTTAAGAATTTCCTTTCACCACAAAAATTCTTTAGATTAAAGCTGTTTAAAGCCAGATTAAAGACTAACGCTCCTACATCTGCCTGGTTTCCTTCCCTATAGAGTGGCCGTAGTGATGCTTCATTATAAAGAGGCCTGGAGCTCAAGTCATGAGTGAATGTGTTTTAATCTCTGTGAGAAATACTGACAGCTTCACGTCTGGAGGTCGATATTTGAAATGCTGATTAAAGTGTGTACACAGCCCTGATAACCATAAGAGTTTCCAACACATCACCATATTCTAAACACAAATGTTGGGGTCCAAGAATGGATTTCATCGTCTTTTTTTGCTTTCAACACTTTTCAGAGACCACTAAACATGCCATTGCTTAACTAAGACTAAGGAAAGAGAAAAGGGAGCCCATTTATCCTTTGTAGTAAAGAAAAAAGATTCTCAGACAAAACGTCTGCACAAAAATAACCTGGTACCGATGGGACAGAACTGAAGAATGTTAACCATTCATCGCCATAGGCATTTTGAAATCTAGAGTTTCAGAAGAGGGTTTTGGTTTCAAGGAACTACAAATCGACTATATGTGACCGTTGCGATTCCACACGGTCTCGTGCCCTCCGCCACCCGTTCCGTCCCGCAGCACCTGGGGTGCGAACCCGGGTCTCCGGCGTAACGCAACAGGAAACTAGCCGCATGACCTAAAGGAGACCTCCCTCAGCCCAGGCAGCTGAGGTCCCTGCTATGTGCAGTGAGGGCGATGACGTCACCGTATCCGAACTAGCTCCGCTACATTAAGCCTATTTTTAAAACAGATGAACTATTTTCACATAAAATAGGACAAAGTCACTTTCAAAAACCATCAAGTCAAACCAAGCCATACCAGGAATATGAGTGCCATTGTACTTAATGTGCATCTCATGCAGGCCGGCCTCTGTAGGGGCATACTTCACAGTGACAGTGCCATCTTTGTTGTCAATGATGTCTGGCTGGGCAGTCTTCCCTGATGGCATGTGGACCTCACCTGGGGAGAGAAAAAGTTAAGAGCACCTCTACTGAAAACAATGAACCTAACGGGACTTACAAGACATGCTTCCCTCCATTTTTCATATATAACCCTTTTAATAACCTCACAATTTGGAAAGGGTGGCCACTGAAACAGTTCCTGCTAGAGCCCTCGTTCTGAGAGAAGCGAAACGAGAGAGAATGGAGGATGCTTTCTTTTAAATGGGGCACCTCTCACAATGATGATCAGCATTCGGCCAGCTCCTCACAAGAGGCTTTTGTGTCTGACAACACTGTAAGCCCCTATGCATATAGTGAGTTACAAGAGCTGCCTGTTGTGCAGCGAGGTCCCAGTTACCCAGCACTGATCTGTCGACTGTATCCCCTTGGCAGCTCACACTCAGATCACCGCCGGTTTAGCCAAATGCCTTCAGGGACTGATCCACCTCAGAGCCCAAGAAGTGGCTCTTTTCTTGACTGAGATACCTAAAACTCCAGGGATAGCTGTACAGTCAAAGGAGAGTATTCCTCAATCCTCAATAACCTATAGGACCTTTAGGAGTCTCATGTTTTAAGGAAATTATGGATATCAGATTTTCATCATGAGGCTCTCATGGCCATGAAATTTTCAGCTTTAGTTTTGAAAGCTAACCATTTTTTTTTCAAAGGCAAGGGAACTTGTTTCCCCTTTTTTTTTGATTGGGACTTTTTTTTCCCCCTGATGAAAAGAAAGTAGATTGAGCCGCCTCAGAAAAGAGGTCTCATGCTAGTCCCACTGTTGGTCCCGAATGTCAGCTGCCTGTTTTAGGCATAGTTCAGTGGTCAGTCTCACCTGTGATCTCTCCCTTACTGAAGGCAAAAGGGATGACCATGTCAAAAGGCCGGAATCCTGTCCCGTTCATGCTGTTGACCGGAATGTAAGCTCCATCTGTCACCTAACACCAGACAAAAACCATAGAGAAGGATCACAACTACGAACCAACATTACATGATCAACAATCCTCGATGGTCAATGTTTCTCACAATAGCTCTAGGCTAAACTACTAATAGTTTCTCTGACAGAATCTGGATAAGCAAAAGTGAACATAGCACAATAAAGCTAAACCGGATCATCTGATCAGAATGATTCATTGTAAAGATACCGATGGAAAAGAAACAAAGACAGCAAAATGGGATGAAGTGAACCACCCACAGAGCAGGCATGGAGTACATGAGTTCTCAGACTGTCTCCACCTGGAAAGGCAAGTGTCTCAGAGTCCTGGAAGAGGAAAACAAGATACCCGCAACCAACCAAGCCAGCTGGAAACACAAAGAGTTGAATGATCACTGTGGTGAGGTCAGACAGCTAACCATTCAGATGCATCATCTTTGCTCTCCCATGTAGTGAATATCCTTAGAAAGGACAGCCAGGGGGGAAGAAAGTTGGAATATATGAAGTCATTCAGGTGAACAGGCCCGAAGCCTGACATTGGCTTCAGCTCTCCTTCAATATCACCACAAAGGTACACAAACTGACAAAGTGGGTATAGACATTCTCACTAGTTGTGGATGTGGAAGTCATCTTGTATGACCCCATTTGGTTATACAAGAAGGATTCAATTTTAGAAAGAAAGCCAGAAAAAAGTTAATCAAAATATACCTTATACAGCTTTTTTAAAATCCATATTAACATATTAGGTGTCTACCGTTACTTCACATTGCTCCTTATGACATATCTTTCAAGGAATTTTAATCCAAATAAATCTGTTTGAGCCTTTTTATAGCCGTTATAGTTGTTTCCAAATGAAAAACTACTGCGAACTGAACAGAAGGGGAGTGGTTTAGATTTAAAACCAATGCGATGGGTTAAAATGATGACAGCAGCTCAGATCAGTGCAAAGACCAGATAGGAAAGGCCTCAGTCCCATCTCTGTGCAGAGAGAAAAGTGGTGTGGGAAGAATTTATAAAACAGTTATTGGAAAAAGAAAAAAAAACTATGATGTTTAGTTGGTAAGAAAAAAAAGGTAGAAAGGAGTAGAAAGACAAAACACTGAGGAAGAAAGGAAGTTGGGGTCAGCTGGTAATCAGTGGGGCAGCCACAGGAATCATTCAGAGTGATTTGAAAAAATGAACGGCAGGGGCCTGTGGAGGTTTGAGGAGGCCTCTCAGCTTCGCAGTCTGTGTGAAAAGGAAAGGAGGGAGAGGGCAAGTTGTCAGTACCCAGGGCTGGAAACCGGGGAGACCAGGGGCTGCCTGCTGCTGCTGGACACTCTGCTCTTGCACCAGAGGGGCCTCATCTGTGGCCTGGAGGATGATAAGGCAGGTTACTCTAACACAGGCCCCAACCACGGATGCACCCACAGACACACAAACCCCTCTGGGATTAGGTTCAAATTTGCCGTGCGATGGAACCAACCAGACTTCTTTTCACTATGTAAACAAAAGCCATCAATGTTGCACAAAACATCTCTGGGTTGTTCAAAACAATGAAAAAAACCCAACAAAAGGGCTAGTTAACGCATGGGAGAAGAACATAATCAGGACAACGCAGAGCTCTAAAAGTATTTACTCATTCTAAGAACAGAATTTAAAAAATATTACTACGGAGCTCAACGCTAGAAGAGAAGATAAGACAATTGTTGAGTTAGAATCCCAGAAAGGGATAGAAAACATCCACCAGTTTAAATACAGGTGCTGCTGCTTGGAGATGTACACAATACAAAAACAGGCAGACATAAGAATGCATATCCACTGTCCTCCTGGCGCAACCGGGTTAAAATGATGGGGTTTGCTCTATGAATTCCCACCTTTACACATTACCTGTTGAGGGTCATGCTGGAGACTTTAGGGAGACTGTGGTGTCAAAGCCCTCAGGGCTAAGTCAGTTAATTGATGGGTTACCCACGAGGTGAGCATTATGTTGTATATCTGAAAGGAAAATGCTACTGTATATTCATGCAGATATCAATTAAATTTAAAAAATGAATTGCCTGGATCCTGAATGGTGCCAGACCATTAATAGTGTCATGGTAATATTAATAGAGTTATGTAGTTAAATGCAATGCCATGTCATATGATCAAAAAAAAAGTGGCAGAATTTCATGTGCTGTTTCCTTGTGCTACCTAAGAAAAATATGTCCTCATTTGTTTAACACTGGTATGAAACCACTGGCAGCTCAGCTTGAAATTAAATTCACAGAGAGTTTACTTTCAAATGCTTGATATAAAAGATCAAATGACGCAGCATGTTATATAAAGCTGAAAAAAAAAACAGTCAAGACAGGGCTCTTACCGTGACTTTAAAGGGGCTCCTGGGAACGTTCTCACCACCAAAGCGGACATAAATAATGTAAGTGCCTGATTTGGGGGCGGTATAAAAGATGTCAAAGGTCCCATCTTCATTCTCGTTGACATCTGCTTCCACCTCCGTCCCATCTGGGGTGACCACAACACAGGACACTTTCCCTCTCCCAGCACGCTTTGCGTTCACCACGAAGCCCACTTCCTGTCCGATGGCAATGACTGGGCCCAGTCCAGGACCTGGAGAGCAAGGTGATGTTAACCAGTCCTGTAGCAATGTGCCACAGAGATTCAAAATGCTTTTCTCTATTCAATTCAGGCTGCTGTGCTTGTGACTAAGGCATAAATGTATGAGTTCGCCTGCAATATCAACAGCATCCAAGAATTCCAAGACATCAGGTCAGACTGACCGGGGAAATAATTACTGCAAGAATGCAGATTTACAGGCATTCACAACACATACTTGCAAACTCACCACTGATATCCAACACAGGCAGATTTCTCTCAAACAGCAGTCTTTTCAAAATGTGTTACAGTTGGATTTTTTTAAATGACAACTGTTCTTTCGTACACATGGCCTTAAATAATACAATTAACGGACATAAACCTCCATTGTTCTCTTACAGCTCCCGATCCACATACTGTATAAAGACTGGCAAAAGAGCAAACTGCTCTTCTTGGCTTGGGCCGTACAGAGAATGAGCGGGAGTTCAGTCGAGCCCTGGCAAATTATTCGCCCATTCCGAACACTTCACACTCACCCTCCAACGTGCACTTGCTGGCGTCTCCGGAGGTGGTGGCGCGAACTCGGTAGGGTGAAGTGGGGATTTCGTCTCCCCCGTATTTGATGACGATGGTGTAGCGCCCAGCCTTGTCGGGGACGTAAGAAACGCTGTAGGTGCCGTCCCTGTTGTCGTGGATCTGGGCTTTCTTTGGCTTCCCTTCCTGATCCTGATGGAAAAACAGAACAACGTCAGGCTGGCGCTCCTTCTTTCCAAGGGTAAGATCAGAGAGAGTGATGGGATGACTGCGAACAGGGCAAGTATTACAGACAGCCAGGGTGCCAGGAGAGCGGCTGAAGTCAGATTTTAACAGCCTTTCGGGAAAAAATTAGAGTGGAGCTGATCTGGGTGATTTAGAATAGCTTTTGCAAATCTTGAATTATCATCAATTATCCAACTCTGGTAATAAATTTACAAAGCACTAGTTTTTCCCAGCAAGGCGACATCACAAATTTGCCTTTTTAAGTATAGTTTATTGGCCTCTAGTCAAATGCCCATTTATCACGTAACTGGAATTACCACTGGAGTTTTATTTAAGCCAGATTCCTCACTTGTCATGCTAATTAAATGTATGTGGACGTTTTCTTGGCTTCAGTACAGATGACTTAACAGGGCTGAGTAAAACCTGATGAGCCTGATCCTTGATAGAATAAGTATCCTAACACCACGAAACCTCACAACTCCACGTCACTACAAACTGAATAATAGGTTCTATGCAATGTCTGTGTGCTGAAAACATTTTTATTGCTCACAATCCTAAGACCAATTTACTGAGGTAACTTCTTTCCCCCCAAAAATGTGCAAAAATAATCAATAGAAATCTGTACGGAGAGCAAAGCTGCTGCCCACTTTGCTGAGCCTCTGAGCCATGATATTTTAAACTCATGCCCGCGTCAACTCTTGTGTCCACTCACGGTGATCTGCACCGACAGCTGACCCTCCCCAGCATCCTTGGCATCAATGGTGAATTCCACAGGCAGGCTGGCTGGCAGTCCACTGGTCAAGCCTGGGCCACTGGCTCGAACTTTACTGGCATCGTAAGTGGGCAACACTCGGAATTTAAACGGACTGTAAACAAGCAACAGAAACCAACGATGATTTTGAGGACCCAATGGAGTAAAACGTGATTTTTTTACCACGCAATCAGTCTGATTACATTACTGTCTGATTACATTATATAAAACAAAAGACCAGTGTTTTGATTCAATCACCACACGGTCACTAACTTCAAAACATTGGAGACCTAAATCGACTTTGAAGAGTTATTCATCGAATAGCAACTGACTTTTCCTTCCTCCCCAAACATTTTTGAAGAGACCTGGAAAAATCCAGAACCCCAGTGTGTGGGATCCAAGGATTTGGACAGAGAATTGCCAGTTCAGGTACAATGAAAAGTCACGTTGCGCAATAACCAGAGACCACACCACTGTGCTGTTTATAGCACAACTCCAATCTTAATGAGCGGGTAAAAAACAAAATTCTTTCACAACTGGAAAAAGGAAGACCACTCTACAAAGGGGTGCAACTAGAGCAAATAGCTCAATCTTGCTGCAGACTGTGAATCTTGTGAGTCTTGGAGGTTCTTGGTTTGCTAGGATGTTAACGAGCTACTTAGTTAATTCATGTGCTGCCATAATCTCACCTGTCCTCCAATGTTTCTGTTCTTACCTGCGAGGGACATCCACATCCGCGTATTTGACAGAAACTGAGTAAGGACCCTCCACCGAGGGGGTGTAAGCAACTGTGTGGGTTCCATCTCCATTGTCAGTCACGTCCACTGGCTCAGCCACACCTAGACACCAACACAAAGAGCAGGCCGTTAACTGGTGCAGAGAGGAAAAGTGGCTGGTTAGGTTTCTGAAGAAGGGCCACCCACATAAAGCCCCGATGTTGAAACAGACACAGGTCACACAAACTGAGGTAACACAATCTTTTTTGTTTTTCTGCATATAATAAAAACAAGGCCATAGTCCTTGAGAACATGGCTCCTATTTCCAAAAGATAAAGACATTACATTTGCAAAACAAAGGAGATTTCAGTAGCGTGTGCCATCATTTTCTTAATTCGCCATCACACCAGAATACAAATAGTTGACTTTTGTCTTAATCACCCACGCAAACATATATCTGACTCTCTGACTATAATCAAACCATTTTCAAAATTTGCATTCTTATCTTTAACAAATATTTAAAAAATCTGAAACCTGATCATTTGATCAATGGGAAGAATTCATCAAAGATGGTGGCTTTCAAAAACAATCTCCCACTTATTAAATAAAGCACATAACCTGAAGGCTAGAAGAATCACAAATGAAATCAACAACCAGGTACAGGCATGCATTATTACCGTAAATATTTTTAAATCTGCAATTATGTGCGATTAAAACTCTTGATTCAGATTTTGATTTGAAAATTACAATCAAATACAGTTTAACAGAAATCTGCAAGTCGAGCCCAAGTTTTGTTATGGAGTATTTAACCATATATCTTATTTCCTAAATGTTTTTAATTAAGAACACAAATTCTACATGAGGCTAGACTGACTTACAGACAGTACTGAATGTGCTGTAAATGAGGCAAAACTCAGAACCTCTCTCGAGGGGAAAAAAGTTTGTAACATTCTCTATATTTTTTTTAACAATTCCAATGAAATGGAAAATAATTTATGGGTATACAATTAAGTCATTTCTAAATCCTGCTGTTATTTACTGTTTTACTACCAGGGTGCAAAACTGTACACATTTTCTTTGTTAAAGCAGCTGTTGTCTAGCTTTTTCATTGAATACCCTTTTCTTTTTTCTGCAACACACCGTTCTCAGGATTTAAAGCCAGTCTGAGTGAGACAGTAGTGTATAACTAGACAGCTTTTTTGAAGAAGAAGCTCTTTAATGGCACAATATTAGCAGAGATAAAATAAACTATAGAAAGATACATATTCTGCAACAGTTTGTGATCATACTGCATTAAGTGAGAATATATTTATCAATAATGCTTTCAATTTACAGATAATTTTTCTGTCAGGAGGTGGGACAGAGTTATCCAGAGTCAATGCTCCTCTATGACACTAGGTGACTCCACTTTGTTTGTGTGACATTTTATTGTACAGACGTCTCCAGTCTTTGGAAAGGTAGACAAAGGCCAAGTGATTGTCACCACTGAGTACCACAAAGCTGAAGGAGAGAGCTCTAGCAGTCGTAATAGCTGACAACAGAGAGAACCACAACTCAGTTGGAGTTTCGCGACAGAGACCAAAGCATGGGAATCAGAGAGCTGCCTTACACATACCAACTGATGCAGTTTTAACCTTATGAAAATACAGGACATTCTAGGGCAGCTAGTGTGTTTTTTATCTCACAATGATCATCAGCATGACCAATGATGTAGCACCATGAAAGGTAACTGCTTTCAAAAACCCCTTTTCACCTGGCCACTGCATATTTTCATAAGGGAAACTTTCAGCTATTCAACATTTAGGCCTCTAGAGATCCCTCCACCTGCAGCTTCATTTATCTGTATTTTGTTCGAGTCCTGTCATTTTCAGGCAAGCAGGAGAGCTGAATATGTAGCTTCCAACCTGTCCCTTTGTCATCGCCCTTTGGCTCGAGCTTAAAGAGATCCGTAAAAGCTTTCAGGTGACTGCGCCAGGGCTGGGAGTCCATCTCGTCAGCTAGAACAGAAAACTGTTGCCGTTACAGGACAGATAGAGGCAGAGAAGAGTGTCTAGCCCTTCCCCCTTCACCGCACCTGGGTCCCCACCAGTCCTCTTTCCCCCACATCCTTCCAGTCTGTTCAGGAACACAACTCGCCACAACTCACGCCCATACGTCAACTTTCACTAAATCCAGCTGACCTACAGTATGACTGCCAGCTCTCAACGATCACAGTTTTACAGCCATGATGTTGCTGCCGGAGCTGTAACATAAGGGGAAAGTAAAGTTCTTCCTAGTGGATTTCTGAAAAGCCTTTCACGGGAAACAGCTGCTTCAGAAAACTGACAACTGTTCACAAGGTCGGTGTCCAACAAGTCGGTTTGCAACACAGCAATGCCATATATGCTGTTAGTCAAAGGTCTTCAAATCTCAGCCCGTTGTGAACAGTCACATTTTTTATTCTTCCTTTCAAATGCCACTGATTTATTTATTTTTGAACCCAAAGCGATGGCTTGTGCCATAAGGAACAGATGGCGGGGTACACACCTTTGGGTGCCAATACAGAAACAGACAGCGGTGCTTGTCCAGCCTTGCTGCAGTCCACTGTGAACTGCTGAGGGATTTTAGCTCGGACCCCCGTGCCCAGGCCTGGTCCGGCGATCTTCACCTTGCTGGGATCCACAACGTCTTTTACCGGCACCTTGAAGGGACTTCCTGTGGCACACACACAAGTTGGGGCAGTTAGTGTCTTTTATCACAACCAAGAATGACAAATTTCCTCTCTTATATGTGGTTTATTAATACATGAAGCACCAATCGCATTTCCCTTAACCGTGCCCTTTTAATAGTCATTCTCCTGTGTCATCTAATCTCCACTGGCATTCAAACTAAACAACCTCAAGCCCCTGTTTCCACTGGAATGTAAATTTAATGTAAAATTAACAGATTAATTGTACTTCCAATAATTTACCCTCACCACACAATAATTAAAACAATATAATGCAGGGTCTCTTATTAGAATCTACTGGGGTTAGCCAAAACCATGTTAGAGAGTATACATTAGGAAAGCACAGTGAAAAGCATACTACGAGAAATGGGAAACCATGCCTGATTATTGGAAAAAAAAGTAAAAGAACAAAAATACTCTGACAAATTTACTGTAGAAAAGTTTCACAAAGCCTCTTGATATCAGTATTTTCTGAAATACTGATGATACTACAATTAATGCTCCCACACTCATGCATGTTTTTTTTTTTCTGAAGCAAATATTATGGGACCAGCAATTGGTGTCACTATTACACAGACACACATTGATTCAGGGTAACTGATGATCAGCTCAGGACAGAATGAGGCATGTTGATGTACATACTGTAGCGTCAATGATACATCTCCCTGCTGAGCTTCAATCAGAAGAGTGAGTAGCTCTCCTGATTGACCCATTCAGGAGCCCCATTATGATCAATTTTTGTTGTTTCTTGAAAGATCATCTGAATTCACATTTAAGGTGAACTCATGCATTTACAAGCAAAGTGTGTCAAAATGAAGGGATTTCTTTAAATGTACAAAAGCTGATCATTTTCCCCAAATTTTTAATTCATTATTTTTTTACAACAGAAACCTACATCACTATTTGTGTTGTCATTCAGTTATGAGTTCTAAAAAAGAATAAATCACAACCCAGAAAATCTACATACAGCAATAAGACCCAAGACATAATTAATCACCCCAAATCTCCTGTAGAATCATCAGCTTTCACTGGACAACTGATATCACAAATAATATACAGATAATGTATATAAAGGATATATGAGCATTCTAGTAGGTTTAAGATTAAAATTATATGACTGTTGCTTTCTTGATTACAATTTAATCTAAAATCAGAAGAAAGTCACTGCTGAAAAATAAAATGAACAACAGCAAATATAAACCATACAAACTAAAATCGAATTGGTTCACTTTAAACATAACTAAAGCATACCAAAAAATGTCTGTGAAGGGGAGAATGCATTTCCATGAGAGCTAACCATATCAAATGGACTTCTCCATTTATGTTGGCTTTTTCCATAACTGCATTTTTGTGATTTAGTGGGATTTAAGCAAATTTTGTTCAAGTCCACAGTTGGCCACTCCTCAAGATTAGCCAAAAATCCCAACTCAGGCAGGTTACAATGCAAGCGTTTGTTCAGCAGCAATCACAGTAAATGCAGGTCTTTCAGCAGGTGACCACTGTTGCCAAATGAAAGCTCCTAGAGCATTATTCCATGTGTGCTTCCACCCCGGTGTTCCGCCTCTCTGGCTGAAATGTACCTGGTATGTGCTGTCCCTCGTAAGTGATGTTAACATCATATATCCCTGGGACATAGGGGATATACTCCACATTGCAGCTGCCATCTTTGTTGTCTTTGCAGGACATCTTGGATTCTGAAGGTCCCTCCACTGTGATTCCAAGACCACCAATGCCTGCTCCTCTGTCACAAAACCCAAACCAGTTTTTAAGCTTCAGAAACAATGGAAGGGCTTCAAACTGGTCTATTTTTTTTAAAAAAGGCCCCCCAAATCATATAGAGCTTTTCATGTAAATTACAAAGGGTGCAACAGACAATTATACTGCCTTATGAAATTCTGTACCATCTTGTAATTGGAGATGTACTTTTAAGTGATGTGTCTTCCAAGCTTCAACATTCCTCTCTTTCTCTACTGCGAATGTTTTAAACACAAGATTTTTCTGAATGCTTACAATCCTTTTCTCTCATTTTAGAGAAAATGCAACTATGCCACAAGCGATTTTTTTTGTCACACTGAGGCTTTTATCTCTTTCTGAATCAACATATAGAATCGGGGAGGAATTTAAGTATAAATGCAGTAGTGAGTGTTACTTATTTGACCTATTTAACAAAAACCTATAATGATTTCTTATAAGGAATGTGGCATATTAAGTATTTGATTTTAATCAGCTGAACTCAGCTTTTTTTTTACACAAAGATGGTTGTTACCACATAACGTTGTTTAAAACTGTTTAAACTTGAGCAGATGTTTTCTAAATCAGGGTTTCACGATCCTATTCCTGCTGATCCGACGTCGACTAGAGTCTCTGCTCTTTTAAAGCTCTCAGAATGTTTTGTTTTTCCAAGCTAGTGGTCAGGATGAACAATTTCTCAAATCAGTTCACGTTTCAGGAAACGAAGAGTGTGTTCAATGCACTGTAAAACATCGATCCTATGAAAATATGAAAAGTCAAGACTGAATGGAAGCAGGTGTGAGGTGATCCAAACAATGGACTATGGATGACTTTAACCCAGAAACTGAAAAAGATGCATCTAGAAACTGTAAAATAAATAATGGCGGTCTCACAAGTGTACCCATCAGCACCCTCCCATTATTTTGTAACCCTCCCAGTGGGGGAATGAGTGTACAGCTGGCTAAAATTACACATTAATAATATTCGGAAAAGAGTAACCAGCTGCCCTTTGTGGAGCCCATTCACTGAGTTGACACCTAGAGGTACCGTAGTGTAGTGGTGCCACCGTAGTGTAGTGACACCACCGTTTCCGTAGTGTAGTGGTTATCACGTTCGCCTCACACGCGAAAAGTCCCCGGTTCGTAACCGGGCGGAAACAGACTTCTTTTTTTGGGCGGAGCGGTGGCTCTGTGGCTAAGGATCTGCGCCTGTGACTGGAAGGTTGCCAATTCAAATCCCGCGGCCGGCAGAGGAATCCTGCTCCGTTGGGCCCCTGAGCAAGGCCCTTAACCCCAACTGCTCCAGGGGCGCCATACAATGGCAGACCCTGCGCTCTGACCCCAAACTTCTCTCCCTGTCTGTGTGTCTGTGTTTCCTTGGAGAAAAGCTGGGGTATGCGAAAAGACGAATTCCTAATGCAAGAAATTGTATAGGGCTAATAAAGAAACATTATTATTATTACATTATTATTAGGTATATACCATGATTGCATAATCGCACTGTTGGGGGTATTTTTAATACTGTAGAACCCAAGCAGATTTGAGAAGCCGTACCTGCTGAGCATCAAACAGAACAGAAAGGTTAGTTCCACAAGGACTCACCTGGTGATAATGGAGAAAGTGTTGGGCTGCTCTGTTAGGGCCTCCTGGAGCCCAGGTCCCTTAGCTACCACCCTAGAGGGATCACAGCCCTCTGACACTCCCACCTGGAAGGGGCTGTTGGGTACAGGGACGTCATCATACAGCACCTCCACACTGTGCACACCTGAGGACACAGCAAATCACAGCCACTGAACATCAAACTGGGAAACCACGCTAGCACTGATCCTCACTGTTATATACATGAAATGGCTAGAGCCTTGGAAAGTGGTGAAATACCCAGTTTATTATTTTATTTAATGGCCATGACCAGTTTTCATTCCTTATGCAGTATGCTGGACATTTATGTAATCACACACATGTCAAAAAACAGGAGCTACTGTCAACATTTTACATGACCACAGAAAAGGCTACCAAACCATCCAATTCTGAACACCCTTATAAGCATAAAAATACATGCAGATCTGTATGCAGCAGGGGTTAAAATCTAGCTAGGGTTAAGAGCAGAGGATTACAGATAATGTTAGGGTTGGATTGGTGTTGAAAAAGAAAATCTGAATCACTCCCAGAGGCACTGGCATACCTGGAGAGATTATTACGTGGTGAAACTGAAAAGTCAAACCCATTCTGTACTGCATAGTATATTGCAAAGATTCTGAATCTGCTTTTCATTTGGGTCTGGAGTCAATGGTTACTGTCAGACTGGATTTAGGTTTGCTAGCATTATGAATCTAGATTGATTCAGTTGACAGTACTGGCTGTAGTGCAAAACAGAACGCCAAAAAATATTTTGTGTTGCCATCATCCACTGCAGTGTTTCTTCTTAATTCTTATTTATTTTTTCCTTTCAGGAATTCCCCAGATCTTTTTTTAAAACATTTTTTTTTAAATCTTGCAAAACTTTGGAGCTTTTTCCCCTCTCAAAAGATAAGATTAAGGTTGATTTTTTTTAACCTCTGTTACCAAAACGTATTGTACCGTACCGTTCTCAAAGGGTGTGTATTCCACAGAGTAGGTCCCATCAGCCTCATCCTTCACCATGCAGTCGGTGCAGGCACCCGAGGGGTTCTTAACGATCGTCTTGATATGATTCCCTCCAATCTTGGTCAGAGAGCGAGCGTCCACTGTGAATTCAGTAGTAGCTTCCCGGAAAACTCCTAGATGAAAAGAGCAAAGAGTGAGAAGACAAAAGACTTATGGGGCTATTCATGGCTGCTGGCTGGGCTATTCCCAGATCTGAAATCATGAATTATAATTCAGATCATGAATTCAAGCTCCATCATAAACCACCTCTGTTTTGGATAGTGGCCTCTCAGCATTTTTTGATAAATACTAAAATACTAGAGATGAGCCATTGGGAGTTAAACATCCTACACATGGAAGAATTTAGCATACAAACTATACACACCTTCTGCAATCATTCATAGAGAGTTGCCACAATATTGGTAATAGATGATATTGAATATAATAAGTGCTTTAAAGGTTAACAATTAACAGTTCCACCTCAAACACTTCCCATTCTGCACCCACCCTTTGTAAATGCTACCACCCAAGGCACACTCCCTTTCCTACAGTGCTGAGCACAGTATTTATATCAGTAAGCCATTTCAAATGTGCTATTAATTGCCAGTAAGTATTTCTGAGGTCACTGCTTTTAAGTGAGAGCAGAAAAGGGAGATTTCTTAAGGAAGCTGATTTTAACATCTCTGGAATTTTAAGACCTTTCTCTGGATCGTCTGACGTTTTTAGAACGGAATATGTCTCTGAGAAAGACACCCAATTATTTTTCATTTCCACTGATATTAGAGAAACATCATTAACAACAAAGTCTGTTAGCACAGACTGAAACCACAATATTTAACAAATCATATAGACATACTCAGTCACTACAGTGACAGTGAAAAGCGAGCAGAAAAGCACTTTATTTTCCAATTAATAAGTGCATTTACCTCTGCTAGTACCTGCTAGGACTAGGATGATTGAAAATTGTTGTTAATTGCAAAATCAATGTGGCTATACAGTTCAATCAGACATTTAGCATTTATTGGGATATGTGATTGTTGCTATTTTTTACTCACAGAAAAACAAACAAATACTCTATAAACTATAAAGCTAAAGCTATAAACTATATAAAACTTTATATACAAAATGGGAAACTGAGACAGAAGATGCCACTTATGAAAAAGACTTATGTGTTTGTGTTGCCATATGTGCACACATAAAAAGGCAAATAATATTAGGATATACTGTATAGTTAAAATCGTAGAACGTTATTTAAGGGATGTTCTATTAAAACTGTATAATGAACTAGTTACAGCTCATTCAGGATACTGTGGAAATTCAGGTGACCATGTTATAAAGAAGTTACTGATGTCCAGAGAAGAGCAGCAAGATACATTCCAGCCTCAAAGGAGCGCTAAGAGGCGGAAGGATTTCTGAACAGAGAAGACAGCAAGGTTCCCTGATACAAGTCTTCTAAATCTTCAAAGGCATCCCAGCAGATTTCTTTTAAATAAACAGTGAAACAACACAAACTAGGGGACACCAGCGGAAACTACTTGGACTTGCAATTTAAAACTTATAACAGGAGGCACTTCAGGTTTGTGGGAGTCTGAAACATGCTACCCTGGCCATGTTGAGATCCTTGGATCAATACGCGACTATCAAACAGGTTAGAAAGGCTGAATGGCCTCCTTTCGTTTGTAACAGTTCTTGTGTTCTAAATAATACCAATGTACTCTCATAACGGTTCTTACCTTTGCCCTCAACTCCAGGTCCATACACCTTGACTTTGCTTGTATCCACAGCTGGGTCCACTCGTACCTTGGCAGGGAAGTTTGGCACAGTTTTGTCACCATACTTGAGCAGCAGGGTGTACATGCCAGCAGAGAGAGGGACATAGGTGACGTTGTAAGTGCCGTCGGCGTTGTCGTGGAGCTTGGTTTCCACCTTGGCGCCAGTGTCGGAGACGGCCTCCATGGAGAGCTTGCCAGGCCCGGCCCTGGCGCAGTCCACGGTGACGAGGCCCGGCTCGCCCACCTTGCCCCGCTGGAGCCCCGGGCCAGACGCCACCACCTTGGAGGGGTCAAAGGGCAGCTGGATGTCCGCTTTGAAGGGGGAGCCGGGGATGTGGACTTCTTCAAACAGAATGTTGACCAGGTACTCCCCTGGCTCCGTGGGAAGGTAGGACACAGAGCAGGTGCCGTCCCCGTTATCCGAACACTCGATCTTGGCTTCGCAAGGCCCCTCCACTGTCAGGCCCAGGCCCCCCGTTCCGGCCCCCTTAGTGTCAATAGTGAACTTCGCAGGGTTCCCCACCAGCCCTCCTTCTAGACCTGGGCCATAGGCCTTCACCTGGGGAACAGCATTAACATAGCCAGCACTGTCAGTTAACTGTGAAAGAACCAGCTGTTCTGCCATAGATACAACTGGATGGATCAAAAGAATATGTAAGCAGCTTAACAGCTGCTTAACACCTAGTGCACACGATTTTTAAATATACTTCATTTGTTCTCCAAAATAAAATCCTGAATATGTTGCTTCACACAATGCTGAAAGTATCTACTATACTTTCTCAGACTAAGGGAGACTTAGTGAGAGTGTTAAAGCCAATGAACAGAAAGATCAGCATCCTTCAAGTGTCTAATTTCCAGTCCTGTTTCTAATTGTCCACTGAGCGCAGATCCATATGGTCGTCCTCAAGTCTGAGAAGACAGAGATGAGGGAAACTACAATATGTATAGTATAAAGTATTAAATATACACTAAAAGCTAAAATTGGCATTCTTTAAAGTGAAGTAGATTTTGGGCAACACATTGTTTCCTTTATTTAGAAAGAAAAGATGCATTTTTTTTCTATCTAGTCACTGTGTTTACAGTTACGGTTTTCTAACTCAATCTACCGTATTTATGTTTAAAAAAAAAACACTTGTCTTTCCCATTTGCACAGTAAAACTGACATTGTGTAACTTTTCAAGCATTTTGGTATTCCAGACAGCTGTCTGACAGAGGTACCTTGGTGGGGTCGGGAGGAAGTAAGGCCTCCACGGGGAAGGGGCTTCCTGGCACTGGGTTTCCATCATAGCTGACATCCACCGAGTAGAAGCCTTCTTCCTTGGGGATGTATCTGACCACACTGCTGTCCTTCCCTGGCAAGGCCTCCACAGTGCAGGGCACTGCTTTGTTGGCTGGGCTGGCGATACTCACGTCCAGCTTGCCCTGCCCTCCGGCCCCCTTCGTGTTCACCATGAACGCCTGGTCCTGGCCCACTTCAACCCCTACAGCACAAGCACATTTGGGTTGTTGTGTTGCTCTACAGCACAGGGGCACCGTGGTCACGTGGCCCTACAGCACAGGGGCACCGTGGTCACGTGGCCCTACAGCACAGGGGCACCGTGGTTCCCTGAAAAGGAACACCATGTGTGTTTTTACAGTCTTGCTTGAAAACCTCCTGAATGATAAGAGAACAGCTCTGGTGCTGAGAAGGAAATAACCACGTCTTTAATTACATGGGCTCGCTCAGCATGGCGCAACCACAGGATAACAGGATCGTTATAATTGAGGAGTCTGCTTCTCTTCTACAGACCACAAGAAATGCCTTGCTATGCAGATTTCGCGAAATTTATAGGGAAAAAATGCCATCTATACAAGCCTGTTGCGATTTTAAGGTTATGGCCAAATCTATCCAGAATGCCTTAGTTTAACAGTGAAAGGTTAACTAGTTTTACCAGTGTACAGAACCCTGACAGGGAGCTGGCACTCTTAGAGGGCTACTGAGCACTGTATCATAAAACAAAAGTTCTGCTAACCTTAAAATACCTATAAAATAGAACTGTCATCCAATTAGGAAGTGTTAATTGTACATTGTGTCCTGCAAATAGTTAGACAATATGTTTCAGGAGAAATGAGGGGAAAAACGTATATATAATATATATAAAGTATAAATACTGCAAACATTTACTTTTACATTGTTTAAACTTAGTCATATCAGTAATTCACAGTGAAACAGTACAAAACCAACTTAAGATCTCTGTGCAACAGTCCCCAGGTAGCAGTGTAGTGGGCACAACAAATTATCTGACATGCCAATTATGTAAAAGAAGCAGCTGTCATCTTCCAAGCTGGCTAGCAGACCAAACTATTTAAAAAAATGGACAGTTGTAGCAGTCGATCACTGAATGGCGAGGCAAGGGGAGAGCAGAGTGTGGAAGGGAGAAAGCAGTGGATTAATTGCAGAAAAATTAGATCGGGGAGTAAAATGAGAAGGCAGAAGTGGTCGCCAATACCTACTTTAAACACAGGAAAGGTGAGGATGTGGACAAAATGACACTCACTGCTGTCAAGGCCATCAACTTTAATCTTGTTAAGGTCCAGAGGAGCTGCCACTCCCACACTGAAGGGGCTATTTGGGATGGGATCACCCCCATAGGTTACCGCAACGCCCAGATCTCCCTGAGGACAAAAGACAGCACACGAACTTTGTTTCTGTGAGACACGACAAGAGGATATTGCTTCTTTCTTCTCTCACACACACTAAAGGACCCTAGCCGACAAGATCAGCAACCTGGGCTCCCACCTGCTGGACAGGGGTGTATCGGACGGTGTGGGAGTAGTCGTAATTGTCGATGATTTCGAAGTCGCGGACCGGCTCCCCTCTCTCGGGCCCGGTGAAGTGCACGTCCAGTGGTGCCTTTCCCGCCCCCTTGGTGAACACGGTGAAATGGGTGGGCTTCCCACTCTCCATTCCTGCGGGGGCACAGGAAAAGACCCTTCTCATTCTGCAAGAGCTGACGCCTTCCTCAGTCTGAGGGAGACGCAGACCTTGCTCGTCTTGCCAAGTTGAAAGCAGAATTATGTTGGCAGTTTTAAAAAAAAACGTCAGGATTTCTAAATCGGGGGGGTTTATTCTGCCATTGCATTTTCATTCACTCCGAATGGATCAGGGGAGGCTTCCCATAGGAGGTCCCTAGAAAAATTCTCCTTGCATCCAACTCAGCAAAAAGATCTCACCCGATCTTCCCAGTCCAGGACCTTCTGCCTTTACTTTGGAGGCATCATGCGAGGGCTCCACTTTGACTCTGAAGGGACTGGCTGGAATTTCCTGTGAGATAGACAATAAAGAGGATGGTAAACTAGCCATAAGAGAGACTGAATATGTCAAATCCTAGTTGCTGGAGCAGAAACGCATGTTCAACTGCAATCAGGTCTGTTAGAGCACACTTTTATGAAAGGGAAAATGAGCATCTGCATTTGATCTGATTGAATTTCTTTGTTGCACATGATTGGATTGGCTCAGCTTGAGGCCCTGTATGATGCCTTGCTGACCTCTCCTCTCCTGCTAACACCCCTGAAGAGAAACTCTTCAACTGATCAGAAACTACTTCAGCACTGACTTTGAACTGATTTACAATTGATAGTGTGGATGGAAGAATCTGTGAGTGTGTGAATGAGCATCATTTTTCATTGCAAATCTCCGTTTGGTAAGAGTTTCATACATATATCGTATAATGTTCAGTGTCCAGTAATAAATGTTTTTTTGCTCCATGTTAGTATACCCAGGGTTCCCTGATAACACCCACCTGCCCTGCAAAAAGCACTTTAATGGTGAAGCGTCCTGCCCCAGGGGGAGTGTACTTGACCGTGATGGTGTCATTCGCATTGGGGATGATGTCAAAGTCAATGTCTTCCTCCTTATCGCTGATAACATTGGCGTCGCACTTGATACCAACACTGACATCACCTACAAACAGACATGCAACTGTGATGACTGGCTGTCTTCTGACTCAAGGATGACGGGAAGAAACAATGTAAACTGTACCACAGTCTGTGCTATTTTTCCCATCTTATATAACTCTTAAGCCCACAATTCCAGATAGCAGAAAGGTATTTGGAAAAGAAACTGGAAGCTGGTTTTCCACAAGTGCTTGACTGACAAAGTCTCAGTATTAGAATTAGAATATATAAGTTGGATTGAGAAAATAAGTCAAAGAAACCTAACAGCCTTGGGGAATATGTAAAGTATATTTGGTATGCAATTAAGAAAATGTTACTTCCAGCCCTCAACACAAACATGACAATGTACAGAGATTCTCAGAGTAGCAAAGAGCAGAAATAGAGAGTGCTATGCAAAACCATGATGTACCACTTATTAATCTAATAGAGTAGCCCATTCTTAACTGTTCAAATTAAACACAGAATATGAGGTTATGATGATGAAATGTACTGTAACTATAAGGAGCTGTAACAAAAAAACCCAGAAAGGTGTATATATAATCATTTTCAAGGACTGATCAAGGTTTATGATTGAATTACACCATAAAGAGACAGCCTTGGATTAAAATGTACCCACTCTACGGCATTACTAGTTTGGGGAAAAACTTTGTATTTCGTTAACTGTACGTTGAATAATTGCAGCAGCCCTGTGATCCTGTTTACCTTCTCCAGCCTCAGTGCAGTCCACAGTGAAGTGGGTGGGCTCATTGGCCTTCAGTCCTGTCCTCTCCACTCCGGGCCCAAACACCTTCACCTTGTGTGGGTGACTGCCCTTCCCCACATTCACCTGCAACAACACAACACCATTGGACAGCTGAGCCACTCAGACCTGCATCCACAACATCTTTCCATCGCCCCCAGTTTTCACATTTTACCTGACATTTACCTCACAGGAAAAAAAAATAATCAGCTTTTAAAGACAACTTTCACTTGACTCATTATCGCGTTTTGCTGGAATTTAAGGTTTTAATTAGGTTGATGGAGTTAATCACAGAATTGCAGATCAACCAAAGAAAGAAGGGAACAAAGGATCTCGACTAAAATGTAGCTACTGAGAGACAAAAAGAGATTTAACACAAAACAGTAGAAAAATGTCAGCATTAAAAAAGGATAAAACCCAATTTAGATCTACCTCAGAGCTTCTGCAAACTGTTCCGGAAAATAAAGGCAACAATTTTCAAATGGACAATAATAAACGTGAAACACATCTATTATTCCTGGAAAGTGCAGAATTTGAATTAATAAGGAGTGGGAATGCAAACTCTTCTGACCCACAGCCAGTCAGAGGCATTCCAGAAACTTCAAACAGAAAAAAAACGCACAAGAAATTTAAATCACAAATTAGTTCATTAATCCACAGTCAAACTAAAAATATTCTGAAAAACAGAATTAACAGATAAGACTGGATACTATTATATATTCAATATGTACATAGAATAGTCATCTGCCTTCAAGGTATGAAGTCTAAAGGCACAAAGGCAAACCCCTACTTCTGTAAATGAGAATTGGAATTAAATGGTTGATCGTTACCTCATAAATACACTGTCTATGCAAACACCAATTACGACACCAACAACAAGTTGCATCAGAAATCTATTCATAAAATTTATTTTTTAGTGAAATGTATTTTTCTTCAGTCATCAAATGAAAAATAAAACAACAATCATTTGTCGATGTGCCGTGCTGCTCTGAGGCAGTAGAGCGATTCGCAAGGAGAAAACATTCATGAGGTAGAGTCTTTGACTTTCGTTGTTGCTGGGAAAACCAAAGTTCATGTTCCGAATCCGCACAAAGAGGCAACCTTACTCTTAGAGAGTAGGAGATCAGGCTACCCTCTGCTGAACAACTCTGAAAGCAGGCTGCCATTAACAAACTGCCTTTCCAGTGCTCCATCCTTCAAGTGGGACACATACTCTAGTGGTCTGTCTCTGGTGTTTCCAACTGGGTCTTGACAAAGACACAGTCCACTAGTTAGGAGGTTAGTGTTCTCTTCAGGGAAGTGAAGAAAATCAGCTTCTTTGAAGACATGTGGACCTTGTAAACCTTTCCCGATCAACAAGTTGCCTGTTTTTAATCTCTCACAAGATAAATATGGAAAGAACACTTGCTTTACTGACAAAAAACACATACCAATTCGCTTCATCATTAGTTACACAGGTGCTTGTTTGAGATTAATAATTACTTTCTCATAGTCTTACATTATCTGTAACACAATGACCTCGGCATCTCCTCAAGTCTTTTAGGCAACATATCACTTCAAAGGCATGGTTACAAATATTTTCTTTTTAAATTTCAACATAAAACATCTACAAGCTTCTCAAAGCACCTACAGGCAACTGCTTAAAACCCTAGTTTCAATCAGCAGAGTTTGCCTGCCTGTCAATGGCTAAAATACTTGATCACAGTCTCAGAAACCCCATACAGATTAATTAAAGTAATTCTAAATAGCTGTAAATAATTAGATATCATACCCAGATCACAGTACAGAATGAATACGCCTGCTACAGGGCAATCTTACCCAGCTCATAAATTGAAATGTCAACTGTTTGTGTATCAAAAACACATTCAAAAGTCAAACCAATGAGTTATCTTTTTACACTTACAATCAATTGCAACAGTGGTATTTTTAATTTAACAGAAAAGTAAACATTTCCAATTGAGGATAACATCCAATTGCAGATAATATATAATGAAAAAAAAACTCCATCAACCTATGGATTGTGATACCCTGGGATAATGCCCTAAGCTGTAAGAATTCGACGCTCTTCTGTAAACGTCTTAACGAGAATGAGAGGATACAGCCTTGGCAGAGCGCCCCCTTGTGGCATTTCCTGGTGTGGCCTTACCCTAAAGGGACTGTTGGGCACATTGACCCCTCCCCAAGCCACAGCTATGGTGTGCTTAATAGGCGAGGTGGGTGTGTATGAGCAGTTGTAGGTGCCGTCTCCTTTGTCCTTCACCTTGACATTGATGGGAGTTCCTTCAGCATTCTGTAGGACAAAGAGGTCGACACTGGGCGTGAGGACACAGCACTAGAGCATTACTACTTCTGCTAGATAAACACACACAGTCCTCCCCAGCAAATGGCCCCACCTGTCAAATCAAACTTTCTCAGTGGCAGGAGATACAGTACATGTCTGGCTTGAGAAGAATGAGATGGGCCAATCCCCACCTCTCAATAACACTGAGCACTAGTGGACCCAGCTAAAAGATCAGTCCTCAACACATCCTCAAATGACAACAATCCTACTAGAAGACAGGAGGAAATAAATTATGTTCCAGCTATTCCTGATGCTCAAGGTATTCGTTTGAGGTCCATAATATCGTTGGCCAGTGAGGGTGTAACTAAACCAATTATTTTTATGAAGGATTACTCTAAAACCTCTGCATTGTGGGAAAATGTCTCATTGATTATTTTCATTAAAGCATGAACATGAAACAATTCTATTGTCGGTACTTTTCCTACTATTTCAATAGGAGTTATACCTGTGCATAGATGTTCATGGGAGCTTTCCCAGCATCTTTAGCATCTACAGTAAACTCAGTTGGTTTGTTGATGATGCAGCCGGTCTTTTCCAAGCCAGGACCATATGCTTTCACCTGAAACACAAACCAGTAGACTTACTTAGACCTCCACCAGTGACTCCTTATCAGGGCAAGCTTGCATGACAAAAGGTTAATTGTGCTACTACAAGGATTTAAGATACCAATTCCTGATAAAGTTTCTCATCTCGTCATATTTAACAAAGGTGACAGAATTTCAAGACGTTACAATGAGAAACTTTTTTGCTTTCAAAACATGACAACGATGTGCTCCCTTCACCTTGTGACAGAACTGCAGCACCAAGGCACAGAAGTAAGAAATTGTGGACCACAAGCAGGGTCCATAGACTGTGACTTTGTAAGTAGAATAAACCATGCTACATTCCAGACGAAACTTTGTTAGAAAACTTTCCAAAGATACAATCTGCCAAAAGTTCAATTTTTTTCACAAATGGATCCATTTAGGGTTGAGAATAACGAATAGATCTATCCACGTCACTACAGTCTAGGGAGGGAAAAGCACTTGCCTTCTCTGGGCTTGAGAGGCCGGTGTCTGGTACGATCTGGGCCATGAAGGGACTGTCTTCAATATCTTCGTCGTCGCACATGACGTGGACGGCGTACTCCCCGGGCTCGGTGGGCCAGTACCTGACGTTGCAGGAACCGTCGTTCTGGTCGTCGCACTCGATTTTGGCCTGCGAGGGCCCCTCGATGGCAAACCCTGCAGGAGAGACAGACGCAGCTCAGAGGTGTGGCCTCTACCTGTCTCTCCACGAGCTCACACACAGAGGCACGCCCGGGGCAGGACAGAAGTGTTCACCACCGTCAGCAGCCTGCTCCAAAACCAGAGCCCAATATTTCTGCAGCCACACTGTCCCCCTGACGGCAGGATATAAACATAGCCTTGATGACACCCAAAGAAGGCCCAACAGGCCGAAATGTTATGTTTCTTTTCTTCTCTATTCAGCATGGAATAAACCTTTACTTGTTCTCTTGCACCCTAGGCATGCTGATGCAGCTACCTACTTCAACTCCTTCAGCCTTCATTAGTATACATAATAGAAATGAAAATCAAGCGATCCAGAAGTTTGCAGTGTCATCCGTTGTCAATTAATCTTTTATCACATACTTCTTGTTCTGCTTTTTTCACATTTACACAGCAGTTCAGAGGCAAACAATTTCACATGAAACAGAACTAGGAATAATTCTGTGCTCGGTTATTCCTGAACAGCACCTATTTGCAATCACGCAATTAGGTCTCTCAGTTATTTCTTTGCTCATTCCAGGTATGTTACAGTACTTGGTGACAAGACTATATCACTCACGGATCACGGAAGAGTCATGGTTTAAAAAAATATTTCATGTATTTTTGTAGTTGTTAAGCCATAGGGTGTGTCAATGAAGAAATGGTTTGCTAGTCGTCTATTATTGATCAATTTAGTACTGATTTACGAGGCCTGTTGCAGGCTGCAAACTGGACGAAAACAGCACAGAGTTTGATTAGGTCCACACCTAAAATGCCTTAAACCTTTGAACTGCTTTAAAGATCTTTCCCGATCGAAATGAAGAGGCAGTTACGCACTCACCTAAAGTTCCAACCTCGGTTCCCACAGATTCCACCACAAAATCAGCAGACTTGCCGATGACACCTCCATGCAGGCCTGGACCCCACGCTCGGATTTTCTGTGGACCAGCTTCTGGGCCAACCTGGACCTCGAACGGGCTGTCAGGGAGAGGAGACCCCACATTCAGGCATCACGGTCTCGAATTTCGAATGCCGCTCTTGAAAAGCACGCAAGCCTTTCTTCTTCGAATACAGAGGAGTCACAGCCAGACTCAAGGAAAAAAAAAAGACACCACCTCTCATTGTGATGCCTTTTAAGAGTTGCACAAAGAAGGGGTTCAGAGTGAGCTGGACAGCATACACACAAATTCACCTGAACAAAAAAAAGAGGATTAAAGGTGTGTTTTAGCATCTACAGAAAACCCATGCTATTTCTTAGGCATCCTGACAGGCTGCTGAATGGATTCACTAGGTCTGTTGGCGGACATTCAGTACTGAGAGAGTTGGGTGTGATGTGTGATGGGTAGAATCTGAATATGCTCTGAGATTTTCTGCCTACATCTGCTAAACCAAATGCATTCGACACAGGTGTGCAGTCCTGTTCACTACGGCACAGAAACAGAAAAACAGGAATAAGTGCTCAGTATGTGGATGACACTAATGGCAGAAGCTCTCACATTCTCAACATTTCCGGCAAAACAAACTGACTTATCAGTCTGCAGGTATCAAAGAAACAAAATATAGTTAATGAACTTAGTCTGAAACAAGTATAAAAAAATGTCTCCATCTTCCTTTCAAAGAGTCCTAGGAAAGAACGTTTTTAACTCATTAAGAATATTACTGATGTTAGCATGGTAGATAGTACTATATATATAATGAAATGCAATTTTAAATTACTGATGAAACATTGATGCTAACTACTTTCCTCAAAGACTGTGAGTGGCCTCCAGTTACAGATAGCACACAGGAGATATCTGTGCAACACCAGAGCCAGGCTCAGTTATGCCCTAAATAACCCAGTTCTGCTTTAGCCAGACAAGGTCAACTTCACAGCTCTTGTAACAGACGCCTGAAAGGTTTTCTAATGAAAACGTGGAAAAATGCCTCAATGCCCCATAAATGTCTAAAAAGGTTAATTTTATAACAGTAGTAATTTAAAAACCGTTTCTCTCCTGTTGGTCTATAAAAAAATCAAATCTGCCAGTCGTAAAAAAAAGTCTTAATTTCCTCATGCTTAACAAGGCGGGGGGGAAAAGTCCACTATTTCTAACCCTTTTGTTCATTAAATTAATCCTTCTGAAATGACCAGTCCACGTCTACCAGCCTCCCAGTAGATGGCTGTTCTGGGTAATGTAACGAGACCTAAATAAGTTTCATGCGGTGCTCACACTTAAATGGCTGTCTGCTGAAGTCCCCTGTGGCACAGCTGGGAAAACCCCAGAGCCCCACCTGGATGAGGTCATTCACTGCTCTTTTCGGTCGTCAGTCTGCACACCTACAGGGACTTTCCAGGTTTTAGCATGCTTGAAAACGTTTCTTTCACGGCAGCCTGTATAGTCCTTAACAATGCATTCTGGACAATTCTGGCCTTTTAGAGCAGGCCTAACATACAGTAACATAACTTTTTTTTCTATTTTTTTTTTAAACAATATCGATAACAGCAATTCGGTTTACAGCATACCCATCTTCAACAATCAGGTAGCCAATAAGACAGCGTCATGTCCAGTGATACAAAGAAATGACAGATTACAAAATAATGTAATATGGCATATAGGGACAGCATTGTATAGCCCTCCAATTCCAAAATACTACTGGGGGGGAAAAAAGTAAAAAATTATATTAGAATTGGTGATTTTTGATATAAGACCAAATGGGTCTTATTTTTAAGAATCCTTGTTGTCTTAAGAGGTGCTACTTAGACCATCAAAACTGAAATTTCATTTTTTTCTGCTCAGCAAGTGGTACAGTTAAAGCTTATTAATAAAGCAGAAATGAGAACCTAAAACTAATTTTTACATCTCTGCTTTCAAAACACACTTTTACGTACACAATTTTAAGATCCTACGTAAGGCAACAAAAACACGACTAGGCCCTTTTGCTTGTCATGCCATCAAGTGAATGATGGCCCTGAGAGCCGTGCCTTGTAGCTACAGCTGAAGGAAATTTTTAATAATGTCATATAAACAGAACTTCCAAGGACTGGGAAGATGACAGAACGTGATACACTCTCACTTTCCAAATCAAACAATTTATAGCCAGGTGTCTGAAGTTATGGGGTGTCATTACGATATGTTACCACAGAAAATAAACAACAAGCACCACATTGCTGTTTATTTTGTCATGCTTGGACCCAAATGCCTCTTCTGGCTTCTAAACGTATTTAACTCTCAGAGGGGGAAGAAAAAAAAAAGTAAAGGACGATTAACAGTCTTGCGCATCTGAAGGGAACCTGTCGAGTCTCTCACCTCTTCGGAATGTGCTGGCCACCCCATGTGATGGTCACGGAGTACTTGCCCGGGGAGTGGGGGTAGTACTCAAAGAAGTGATTTCCATCCTGAATGTCCTTCTTCTTCACAGGCTCCTCTAGGCCTTCTATGCGGGGGGGAGGGGAACGTCATTGTAACACCAAGCCTGTCAAAACATCTCCTGCCAACAGCTCTGACAGCCACATTAATCACCCTGACAGACACCGTGCTGACTCTGGGTCCTGCCTGCTCCATCTGGGGCAAAAGAATCCAGACTGTGCCAACCTTACAGCCTTGACTAGCACCCCAGCCAGTCCAGAAACCTCTAGTATTACTAATCAGTGGTACAGACAGTATAGCTGGCTGCATGCACAAAGCAAGCCTGGAGGCCTGCAGAATAATGTAGGAGATAATTACTTTCCAGACAAATATTATGCAGAGGAAATGGTGCTAGCATGCTCTAGATCTCACTCGAAGAGAATTACCCTTTTTAGAAAACCCAAATTAAATTAAATGAAATACACCATTAAGGAGAGCAGATCCTAATAAGAAACTGCGTTAGGCTTTCCATATACAGTACATTTTGATTAACTCCCACACAGGACAGATCCTTAGGGCAATTTGACAGAACCCGGAGTTAATATTTGTTTCATATCCTCTGTTGTATTAAAGCTAATTACTTTTAACACCATCGGCCTCTGGTATTTTTCAAAGGTGGAAACAAATGCAACTTGTGTTGCTTAATGTGCGTGCAGCATTTATCTAAAGTTTGTGGCTGTTAAAGGAAGAGCTACGCCTATATCAGTCCAGTGTAAAAAATAAAATTGTCTCCAGTCTAGCTTGTACTGTAGTTGTATTTCGCCAGAGGGAAACTGAGGTGCTCTTACTTATTACATTTCTTTTCAAAATTTAAACTCGTATTAGATACACAAAATAATGTAAAAAATTAAGCAATTATCTTCTCATTTCCAATGATGATTGTTAAACCATCCCTTCAGGCACTTTTCTCTGTAGAGTGGCATGGTCTACTCTATCTTTAGACAGCAGAATGCAGTTCATCCAGTTCTCCCCATTCACAAGCATCTTGTTACAATCAAGGCAGCACCATTATTAAAACTGATCAGCAGTTGACTTTTCTTCATCTGCAAAAGCAAGTGCTTCTTCTGTATAGGAACAGTGGAGAATTGCCTATTGGACATTAGAATTGCCTGTTGGTTTTGATAGACCCACTGACTCTGGCATGGCCAACTGTGTGTTTTCTTACTCATGTTCTGTGTGTGCGGACTCAGGGTGCTCACATCTCACAGCTCAGAACCTCACGACGGCACGCAGGGGAGAATGAGGAAATACAGACTTCTCCAAAAAGCAAGCCTGCAGGCCACTCTTATATGGGGGTTAAGTACATCGCGTTAATAAATCGGTTATGGATCACTCAATGGGTTTTTAGAGTTGTGCTTCAGATTGCAAATACTGTATGTTGCCATGACATACTGCTCTGAAGGAGTGGGCCTTAATAATAATTACATCACCAGCTAGATGTAAGGGGAAGGGGTTCACAGGAGTCGTGAGCCAATCTTCTTTTGATATGGCATGGGCACCAGTGGACATCCACGACTCCAAGAGACCGTAGGGTCTCTTTTTAATGTTGAGGTCTAGTACGGAGCAAGAGATTTACGGCTACAATGCGGTGAGCTGCTGCATTAAACCTCTGTGGAAATTATAGCGTCAGTCAGTGTTTAATGATTGTTCCGGCCGCCCAGGCTAGAAAACTGGCGGGAATCAAAAAGGCCCCGTTACTCACTTGGCCCCTTGATTGTGACCTTCAAGTCCCCGCTTCCTGCGTTCCTGGTGTCCACTCTGAAGTCCGCCACATCTCTCACCCTGACTCCCCGGGGCTGAAGGCCGCGCCCGCTGGCTCGGCAGGCGTTGGGATTGGAGGCTGGAAAAGAGGCGTGGGCCCGGTCAGAGTAGGGGCGGCCTGAGGTCCTGTCGGTCTCACAGGGTCACTCGGAAGAGCTCTCCCGTGCCCTGGTGAAGGCAGTCGGCTCAAGTAACCCTGAGGTCTCATTTTGCTTGTGATGGTGCTCAAAACAAAACTATTACTCCATGAGCCTCGTTTTGCCGTTTCATCTCATTTCCCTCAAATATTTACCTACTCCGGTTAAAGCAAATCTCTTAATAATGAGATGGAAACGGATTTGCCAAAGACTACATTTTCACTACCAAGATCCTGGCTTATTTAGCTTCCTTCTTAAGTTCTAACTGTATACAATGAAGTCCAGATAGAATTCATTTTTTCAAATTTTAAAGGCTAACTTCCTTTTTGAGGCCCTTGAAAAATAGGTGACGTTTCTGAGCAGTTGGCCAATCTGCGGAGTTTGTGTTCTGGTGTACAAAGTTTATGTTCTGGTGTCGATCTCAAACATCCATTCCAAAGTCCATTTTCCGAGCACAGCATTTTCCTGTTTATAAGGTAACACGGGGGGTTATTGGCTGCTTGCAGTGATGTATAAAAGATAAGTTATTGACATGGCTTCAGAGTTAAAGTTCTGAGAGGACAGACTTTCCCTCCAGGAGCCTTTGGAAATAAATCTCAGACCTGTGCTGACTTCTTTCATCCCTATGGAACCAGGAGTGTCATAACAATGGGTTTACAGAAAATGTTCTTCATAAGAAGACATCTTCATGAATACATAAGACACACTACAATGAACAACACATTGCTAGTGCCTCCAGAAAGCATCCTTTCTTATCTAGCGAGATTTAATGAGGAAGAAACCGAGGTTTGGGGCACATTAAAGCAATCTGTTGAATCTAAAGAATGGGGAAATGATGTCTCCTGTGGTCATTCTACCCAAGCTCTTAACTGACCCAAATTAGACACCTGTCTTACCAGGATAATGCAAGAAAGGCTGAATAGGATTCTTAGCCCAACAGACGTTATGAAACCAACAAGCAAACTGAGTAAGTGGTCTCATTTGCAGCCTTTCCTGAGTTCTTGCATTAGTATGTGATGATGTAAAAGGCATTATAACACCTGCTAACTGTTGAGCCAGGTTCCTGATGCAGTGGGGTAAAGGGACTTGTTGGATTGGTTCATACACTCCAAGAGGCCATTTTCATCACCATTATTATCAGAGTTCCATTTATTTTGATTTCCAAAAGTCCATTAGAGTTTGGATTTTTACCACTTTTATAAGCGTCTTTGAGATTCTTTTGCCGAAAAGCGATACCTAATTCTAATTTGTCACCATTAAAGCGAAGAAGCTGAGAAAAGAGAGGTCTGGGCTACAGAAAGAGCTGTACAAATGAGGCAAATGAAATACTCACACCTACTATAGCTTACATGGGAAACTGTTACTTTGTTCTAGCAGAGAGACAGACTGGGACACCGACTCTGAAATCAAGAACAACTGTGCTTTGTCAGAAACGAAACCCACACACATCATTTTTTTGAACTGAAAACATAGTCCTCCTTCTGCTCCCCTGCTGTCTGAGCTCTCACCGAAAACCCTTCAAATATATAGGAATGAACAAATTCTTTCCTTTCCTTGAGTCTGATGCCTTCTCTCAGCTCAGTCTCATGTTTATTCACTGTCATTTACAGGAAAGGCCAGGAACTCCTGGCAAATACCTTTGGTCTCATTTTTTACCTGAATATTCCTCCTTTATTTTAAGATTATACCCCAATGATCTATCTGAAGCAGCACATTACAGCTTTCAAGGCTGGAAATTTAACTCGCAGAAAAAAGAAAAGAAAATCTCTAGTGTCATCCGTCATAAGATGGAGTTTGGAAATCTTTTTCCTACTGCTGATGAATGCTGAGTTACCAGCAAAACACTGACAACAATGTACTGTATTGATGTTTCTGGTGGAAGCTTTACCACACTGTTGTAATTGTTGCTAAGAAATACCACCACAAAACAATAAGTAGTAAACCAGAACCACTGTACATAAACTTACAAATTAAATTTTTCAAATACACTTGAAAGCCCTAATCAGCATCTACATTCTAACAGTAACTTCCAAAGTTACTGTTAGAATGTAAATGTTCCAAAGTTTCCATAGATTTCTTTTGTCTGTTTTTTTCCCAGCAAAAACCAACTGAAATCACAAATCTGGTCTCGCCCATTGGGAGAAGTTAGCAGTTATCTGGGAATGTTTATTTTATTTTATTTCCCCACCTGCCTCACACAGAGGACTTCACCTGGCGAAAGACTAGGACTTGAAAAGTATGGATTGAAAAATGGAAAAAGAAAGACAGAAAAATGAAGCAGAAATACAAAACAAGTACCGAGGACTGTAAGGCAGCACAGAATTTTGTTTTGTACGATACTCTTCCTTTGGGGTTACTGAAAGGTCTGTCTTTCACGCAGATGTGTGAAACCTGTCAATCCTGTTAGACACGCCAAAGAGCTCCTTGGAGGTGAAAGAACCTCCCACACCAATTCTTGAATTTTCTTTATTGTATACATAAGCCTAATTAGTCATTTCCGCAGGCACCACGGGCAAAAGTGGAGGCTTCTAAACTGAACAAGTTCTCATTCCTTAGACAAAGGGAGACACAAAGCACTGCACCGTTGTACTCAGCAGGCTGGAAAGTCACACACACTATTTAAACCCTGAAGTAACATTCCACGCTACGAACCTGAAGCCTATCCCACAAGCACAAGAAGCAAGGTGAGATTATAGCCTGGATGGAACAGAAGTCCATCGTAGGGCACACCCACAAGCAAGGTTTAGAGACACCAATGAGCCCGGTTAGCTTGTGGCCTAAAGCTAGAAGGCAAACCCATGTTTGAAGTCATGAAGACAGAAACGCTTCTGAAAAGAAGACCAAGTGTTCTGTCAAGAGTACGTCTATAAAAGAAACCCAGGAATGCCATTGGTTTTTTACTGAACATTCTGGCAATTAGTTAGCACATTAGAATACAGGTCTATCTTCCATGCAGAAGGCCCAAAATAATGATGACGATGAAACCCTCTTCCTTTCAGATTTAAAAATAAAACAGTCTGCATCACAGCTAGGGGTGACCTGTGCTTTTAGATCTTGTTTTCTAAACAAGCGTTCACAATGGTCTCCAATTCCATGACGTACTTGCAGACATTTGTTCTTGGTTTCAGAGTCAGTGTGTTCACATTGAGCCTTCTTATCAGTCTTTCACTCTCAAGCCTCAGCGATAAAGAACCCCGCCCTCCCTCACACCTAGATTGTGAATGAAGAAGGAGGAAAGAAGGCTACCGAAAGCCTTCCTGTTTATTTAAGCCATCACGCCCCAGCAGGCCGCTATGCAGAGAGTGCAGGAGGAAGCACAGCACCTATTAATCTTTCATTTATTTTTGTGGAACTTTAGCATCTCCAGTGGCTAACCACTTAGCACAGGTTACTATTTTTGCTTACCACAGAAATCCAAACATTACCATATAAAGGCATTGGTTCACCATATACTCATATATGATGAACCAATGCCTTTGCACTATGAGAATACATATGGGACTATAGAGTCTGCAATGCAGAAGAGTAAATAGATTCATTAACAATAGAGACACACACCGTTCACAATTAAGCAAGATATGCACAATTAAACATCACTGATTTGTTCACTGGTTAGTACTGAGCAGAGGCTCAGCCTTCCTGTGTGTGTGGAACTACTACTAATCTACGCCGTTAAATTACACTGAGACCTGTGCCTCAGTACTCTGAACTTTCAATTTTTCCAGATATTCAGATTCTTATGTAAAAGACCAAGGTAAACACTGTTGTCATCACTGTAAGGATATTAAGACATGTTGTGTGACATTTTGGAAATTATTATAAAACACTTCTGCTCACGAATGTCTGCTTTCCTCATCAACCCGGGCAAAAGACGACAAAGCTTCTCGAAGAGACTTTTGTTACATCTATAAAAACGGACGAGCGGATGACATCAGCTTCATACCAAAGGCCCCGTCAATTTGTCTCCAATTAGGCAAGAGCTGCTTGTTTGGTTCTGCACGCAAACAGAGGGAAAACAGTAATAATAAGCGCTTTTCTTTCAAAATGAAAATAATTAAAAGAAAACAGCTCGTGTCATAAACACTGCTGGCTTCTGCAGCGCTAAGTGGGGGAAAAACCTGCCTCACGGAGAAGGAATTTGGGTTTTTATGAGTCTCCAATCGTTTCACTGGCTTCCACATTCATTGTCGATGGAAGCCAGACTCCGCGCACAGTAGTGCTTCCACACAAAACGCTAAGCTTTCGGAGGAAACACAGGGCTGATGCAAAATCCTTTCTGGCTGTGAGAAGTATTATCGAGTACAGTGGGTACTGTGTAACTAAGAACTTTATCTTTTAAACAAAAGTACATTTGCAAATCATGTTTTTGAAAAATCAATATGTGTAACCTACTGTAAAGGTCAGGTCACCTGCTCTCATTTCACTAATACAAGTCTGGCCAGTGAATGCTTTAACAGTACGTGTTCACACTGAGGGACAATTTTAAATGCTTCTGCCACCAATTGTTTATTTGTATCCAAACATAAAGTATCCCTCTTGTAAATCAATTAGTCAAATTAGTGTCAATCAAAATTATGATTTCCATAAAAACACTTCCAACGACAGGGACTTTGCTTGTCATTTAATTACCCTGTAAGCTCAATTCTTGAGAATTTTAAAATAAATTTTAAGTAATAGAAGCACACTACATTTAATATCAATATGAGGGTAGTAATCAATAAGAACACCTTAAGCAGATGATAGGTTAGGTTTAATATGATACAATTGATGAAGATCATGCTGCATTCATAAGCAATATTTCTGGAGGAACGCTTGCAGAGATTTGAGGTACAAAGCAGTGTGGCTCTGAAACAGGTGATTTTCCTGTTCAGGTCTTCAGTCTTATGGAAAGAATTTCCGTCCCAACCCAGATAACCGTTTTCTTCACCTTGAATTTGAGGGCTCCGTTTTCTGCAACAGTCCAGTCTGACCATTTTACAGTAACTCCACTGCTTTACAGGTATGCACTGCTTTTGTTCTGTGAAAACTATGTTAAACGAGCTATTTTTACCTCTGGCCACCCCTTGAGCAGAAGAATTGTAGCCAAGGTTTTCAAAATGTAAAAAACTACTAGCAGTAACTTCAGCCAACCGGCACTGTGAAACACAAAGCCACACACAGTTAAGTTGTGTGCTGGCTTAAACACACTCATTTTATAAAAAACTTTATAGTGTTTGTAAAGGGCTCCCGAGTTCCTGACATCCACTGTTTAATTACCAGTTTCTCTCACTAGGAACAAAACAGATTGCTTTCTACAAAATCTGCCAATTACTCAAAGCTTCTTGTACCTTTTTTTCACAGACCATGATTCTGTACCGGTTTCCTCCTGTGGGGCTCCTCAGTGTTAGGATTTTGACCCTAAATTTTATTGTGGTTAGGGTTAGGGACCTCAAATCGAACCACCTCTAAGAAACGTAAAGAAGATCACGCACACATGCACAATGTATGCCACAGTACTTAGCTTCAACGTTATTATC